CACTGTACAGTGTATTGTTTTGAAGAAACAAGTTTCTAGCAGTCCTAAAATGTGTATACCACTCTACATTGTGCAAGTATTTAAACTTGTGGAGATATTTTAAGCATTTATCTATAAAATCTGTTGTTCAAATTTTAATTTAATTAATTTAAGAGGAACATAGCGGATTCACAAACGTACCATTAAATCAATAATGTGGAAGATAACATCGTTTTCCTAGCTTTAAAATTGTTAAATGACAAGAATTTTATCATTTGTTTCTGGGGAAGAAAATCGCAAGTCCAAATTTGAAGAAAACACAAATGAAAATAATCACTTTTCAAAGACAGCTCATGCATTCTGTATCATACAAAGCTTTAGGTAATGGTGTGAATTGGACATGCCGCCCCTAAATAAATAGATAATTATTTGAAATTACGCCGACATACAGTTCCTTTTACCTGTCGCTGAGTTCATGGTGAAACATAAAACCGGTTTTATCAGGAAACAAACAAACAATCCTGAATGAAAAACATGATTTGAAAGCGTCACTTTCTATAACTTGGAAATCCCTTTGGATATTTAAAAAAAACCCTAAATGCAAAAGTAAAAAAGTTTTAGAATTTTTTTTTTACTTAACTGAATTTTTGGTAGATAAATATAAAGGTGACATTTTTTTATAGAATATGTATGTGATTTCTTCTACAGGGTTAGTGTTATTCGTTAAATATGAGACTTCAGAGACGATGGTTAGATTTCCTGCAATTGTAAACTTTCTTCTTTCTTTGCCAAATCATAAAAAAAGTCATTTTAAGACAATATATTCAAGGCAAAAGACTTAATTTAACCTTTGGATGGTCATATTATAAGAGTTCTTAGTCGTCTTTACAATCTCATCCTGTGTGGGTAACCACTAACCCTGTAGAAAAATCGTCAGATGAAGACACTGTTACACAAAGGAACAATACTTATTTAAGGAATAAAAATACAAAATTCACAATAACAATTCCAACCACTTAAATTTAACATTATGACGAATTTTTTTTTTACCTTACAGAATGAAGAAAATTATCTACAATAAAGTTTTCTTTGGTCAAACCTTTCCTGAAAAAAATATAACATCTATATATGTCTGTGTGTATCCAATAGAAATCAAAACGGCTGAACCGATCGTGCGCCCTTATTTTGACCCCAGGAAAGGTTTATAAATGCTCAATTTTTTTATTTAAAAATGTGCGAAAAAATATTATTAAATCCGCGAACTTTTTGTTGTTTGTTATTGTTTTATATTGTATAAAGAGAAGATGCTCACACGTATATAGAGACACAATTAAAAAAGATAATTTCATTTTAATGGGATATCTTAGTAAAATTGAACACAAGAATGATAGAAACGGCTCTAGTTCACACCGTTTAATCAGAAATCTTTAGTAGATATAATGTCCAAAATCGTTAAAATTGATTCGAAATTGAGGCTCTAGCTCATATTTATTTTTGATATTGCCTGAAAGAGTATCAGAGAACAGTAGAAAACTTTAAAACATGTCTTAGATTTCCTAACTATAACTTTTTTGGCGATATCTAAATAAAATTATCTTTTTAAAACTTAATCTTGTGGAAGACGATGCCTGGCCGCGGTAAACAAGTTCCACAAGATTCAACAGAATGAGATAGAACAGATACGGACTATAGTACTGAAAAACATCTTCACGTGTGATATCGATATTGACTCTAGTTCTGAACCCTCTAGTAATAAGTTATAAGAAATATATATAATGGAAGTTATTTATGCGTTTTCATTAGAGTCTGACTCACGTCCTCTATAATCTTATTTTAAAAAGTCATTAAGTTTGTAAAACACAATTTTAGATCAGAAAGGTTTTTTAACCTATTTTGGACCATGCCCATTTCTCAATTTCCCACACCAATTTTAGCTGTATCTTTTGTTTGCAGATATTTACATAAAATCGTCTATTTTATGACCTAACCTAACTTTACATAATTAAAAAAGTTTGAAAACAGAGTTTTTGATTAGATAATATTTTGGGCCTTTTTCTTAATCTTCAATTTTAGACTAGGATTATTTAGAAAACGGATTCTAAAACCCCTAACTATTATACAACTTAAAAAAAAGGAAGAAGTCCAGACTAAAAAACCAGGACACGGAAAGGACTTTCAAACCTCCAATCCATTACTGGAGTCCATTGTCATCCCCCGCCCTTTGTGATTTGATGGTAAAGGTATATTTTTTCAGTTACACAAAGTCGACCTTATGAATCGATTCGACAGAGAGCGGGGAATTTAGGGGGGGGGGGGCAGGTTATATTGATTACATAGTGAAAGACTGAATATGACGTAATAAGGAAGGGGGTCGGATTATACATACTGAATATTACGTAATGGGGAGGGGAGAGGTCAAGGTAGACCGTAGAGGGATGGGGGGGGCAAGCTAGAAATCCTGAAATTAATCAGATTTTCTACGAAAAAGCTTAGAAATTCAGTCACACTAGAACCAAAAATTGGAGATTTGATTCCAAAGATATCCGAACGTAAATTGGACAGCTAATTGAAAGAAAAGAAACTGCGTCATAGGATGTCATGACAGTGTGTACATCTGGACACAATTCGTACTGCAAAGATAAACAAAGCCAGGCGGCGTAAAATCATCTTTAAAATATTTATGACAAAATATGAAAAAAACTTATATATACAAAAAGATTCAGGTTTAGTGTGGTCAAATCACATCGCATCGCATCGCATCTCCTCAGAAACATCCATTATAGAAGCCAAGATATTAATTTAAAAAATTTAATTGGATTGAATTACAGAATTACTCAGGCTGAATGAAAAGTTTTCACTGTACGTGTTTATTCGAAAATTTGGTTTAACCAGCACCATAATCTTCTTTCCAAAGGAAGGGGGCCCGAAAAGGGGAGAAAAAAGAATAAAAAACATTTTATCTTTATAAAGCACTATTTTAAAGAAGTATTTCGAAAATATAAATTTATAAAATCCGAAAAAATGTAAAATGTCGATTTTAAATTTTCTATATTCGAATATTAATTAATATAAACCATTCAACAATAGGCAAGGGGGGGGGGGGGAATGTTTAAGAGGCCTTGACGGGATCAATGAATACTAAAACATAAAATCGATTTCCTAAAAATATTCGAATATGTCCCCCCCCCACACCACGATCTGTGAAGGGAGAATTCTCGACAATCCAATCTTTATTAAGTGAGAAAAAGATATATTTTATAAATCACCGTCATATCCAACGAAATTCAAAAAATATTCTGTTTTCCTAATTGTCTCTTAAATTCCTTATTAGTTTATACATTTTTTACGTTTTTAAATAGTCTGACCACTATCTACCCCCCCCCCCATCCCTTTCTCCTCATACCTAAGCACAAATTATTGACCAAACACGAGAGTACACATGGTAGAAGGAAAGCCCTCCTCTATCTAGCCCAATTGACCAGCGAGCTAGAGGGGGGGGGAGTCTATATATACGCCAGTTAAACCATAGTCTGTTCAGTTTAGTTTAGACTACGGATTCTCGGTGTAAACCTACTCCAGAATATCTACTATAAACGGTATCCACTCAAAAACATCGATAACTAATGCAGTAAAAGCTAATAGAAATCCACTCCTAAATTATTCAACCTCAGAAGAATTCCTTCCCTGGCAGTGAATACTCAGCAGTAGCATCTCTGGCAGAATTCACCCCGAAGAAGAAAACCTGGAAAGAACTCTCTCCCTAACAGAGAAGACGCTGGAAAATCCAATCTATAGCTTATTAACCAAAGCAGAATCCACTCCCAGTCTTCTCCCTAGCTGTTCAGAATCCACTCCTAATCTACTCCCTTGACTGTTCATACTCAACTTCATAACTGTTCAAATCTACTCCGAAAAGCGGCAAGACCCCAGTAACCAGTTTTAACAAGAACCATGCGGTTCCTGAGTATACAATTCAACCCTCGCTATGAACCCGGAGGCACTGAGAACTTCTGGAAGATCAACTACAACATGGAGAACTCAGACAAGCAGGCTCTGTTCCTCTACAAGAACAACGACGGGGAGGAGGGGAAGATGTTGGATAAAGGGCCCAAAGAGAAGTTGGGTTCCACTAATCTATCCGACTGGAAAGACAGAACATTAACAAACTGCCGGGAGTTATGGTCCAGAAAACAGTAAATTAGTTTTATAAAATAACTAGATGTGATATAGATCAATAAAGTATCAAAAATATAAATTCACAAAACTTAAATTTCTTCGTTTTTTCTTTAAAGGGAGCATTTTTTAAAGAATTGGAAAATCTACAATAAAATTCCACCCCAAACAAAAAAATTAAGTGTTTATAATTTTAATCTACATTATCTACATATAATGATACCCAAAATATTTATCGAATACGATAAATGATAAAGCAAACAATTTTTCCAGTAGTTTGAAAATCAACGTATTATTGCTGTTTTTCAACTTGATTAAGCTATTTATAATAATAAAAGTTATTTACCACAGTTTTTTTTTTGGGTAGCACAATATATTATAAATTGTATGATCTTGAAGACTAACCTTCTTGTGTAGATATTTATCGTCAATTTGTTATCAGTCTGAAAGAAATCATAGGTGGGAACAGGTCGTACAGCAATCGGTGGTATCACTGAAAAACAAAATCACAAATTAAAATCTTATGGTATTATAAGGTCGCTTAGGATTTCGCTTCAAAACGTAAACAGCTCGAAAAGGCTGGCCACGTTTGAAAGAAAAGTCATAAAAGTTCTGATTTTCTAATCCCTTTATCTTTGCAACCCAATATCGTATACCTTATAATTGAATTCTGTTAGATCAAATAATCTGAGTTTAAAATATCAATCAATTTACACAATCAGGTTGCAAAGATATAGGGATTGGAAAAATTGATTTGTGACAATACTCAATTTCTTAAAGTAGAAATTATTTTTTATCTTAACAAATGATTTTGGACTAAAACCTTGTGGCAAATCTAAATGGAGAAAGAAAAAAACATTCCTGAAAAACACCAGTCAACTAATTATAATTTAGTTTGAAACTCTTACTATGAATAGTATACAGTGCTTTATTTTTTTCTCAAAATAAATGTCAATAGTTATGAAAAAATTCTTACTGTAAAAACTTGTTTGAAAAATTTGGATTAAGGTTAAAAAACTTATTTAAAACGTGCCAAAAAAATAGTTCTTTTAAAACGTGCCAGTATATAGTTCATTAAAACTTGCCACAAAATTAGATCTTTAAAAACGTGCTGCAAAAATATTCTTTAAAAACGTGCCGCCAAAGTAGATCTTTAAAAACGTGCCGCAATATTTTTTTTAAAACGTGCTTCTCACATGCATATCTTAAATTTAGCAATCTTGCCTGGTATAGAGGAACAAAAAGAGGTAAACATTTTGAAAAATCTTGAGTTTCCTATTTGGAAATGATAACACATTTAATTTATTTCAAATTAGGTGATGGTGATGGACCAAACCTCTGTAGAGAGAAAAAAGTAGATGTTTTACATTTTATTGAAAATATATTTCGGTGTAGGTTGACCCTTGTCAGTTCTTAAGATTGTTTCTGTCATGAAGATTAAAAACAAATTTAATTAAACAGTGTGCATAACATAGCATCGTCGTAGGAAGCTGATTTCTTGCACGTTAACTCAAAAATATGTGTTGTACAATGTACATTTTTTGGTTTTGAAAGGCAGCAAGCTGTTACCGTTTGGGTGATCCCGCCATAGTTTTTACATGTTGTTTGTCGAATTCATGTTATCACATCATTTCAAACCCGAAAAATGCTTATACAGCACATATTTTTGAGTTCACATGCAAAAAATCAGCTTCCTACGAAGATGCTAAATTATGTTTGCACACTGTTTAAATTTCCCGGAGAGTAAAACGTTCTGTGCCTCCCCCCCCCCCCCCGCGTTGAAAATTTAGTTTTCGGGCAGTGCTTTTTTAATGATATACCTGATATTGGTGAAGGATTATCTGTTTGATCTTCATCAAGAAGAATAGGAGGGACAGGGGGAGCAAGATGAGGGGCCGGACCTTCAACCAGTTTACCAACAAGACATGATGATAACATTGAATCATAGTTCACCCACCTAGATAGATAGATAGAGTTCAACCCAGTACTTCGGAGTCATCGAAAGATTTTAAAAAATGTAATTTTTAATATTATACCTAAATCTCATTAATTGTAAAAACAAATAAATAGCAAAGAAATAAGCGGAAACAATTTTAAAGAGTCCCATATGATCCATTTCAATCCATTTTCTTTACTTAAATGATAATAATAACAATAACAATAGTAATGACAATAACAACAATAATTACAATGACAATGACAATTTATAGTTACAATGACAATGATAATGGATAATGATAATTATGATTAAATGGTGAATAATTGAGTTGATTGATTTAATTGATTGATTGATTTAGTTCTACCTGTGAACCTCATTAAATAAATCTGTTGCGTCTATACCAGCTCCCTTCACTTTAATCAGAGTTAAGGCTCAAATTAAAACAAAAGACTCCAATATTTCAATTTTTGGTTTGCGGCCCTCGCCCATTTCAAAACTGTGATTGCCAGCCAAATAGCTTCATGTACGAGGGAGCTAGGACGTCGGAAATCCCGCCGGTCGCGGGATGAAGCTAAAAATTCAACTCATCACAAGTTCTCAAAAACTTTGGAAAAATATGAATTAAAATAAGTTTAGAATAAAAAACACATTTAAAAATATTGTAAAATTTAATTTAAAAAAATTATTAAAAAGAAAACCACCAATTATTTTTAAGGTAAAACAAAGCATGGTTTAAATCTTTTTAGGAAGGGTAGGGGCCGTGGTGAGACTTGAGCAATGGGCAAATTTGTTGCAAAATTATACCCATTGCCTATATGCACCTCCTCAAAAATAATAATACCCGGTATGTAAGGAATGTTTGCGCAAAGTACGCGATGTTTTTTTAATACAATTTATTGCTACAATAGGGAGAAAAGTAATTCGTATGTAAAACCTATCTATTGAGAAAATATTAAGACTAGCTTGGGAAACCAGCGTTGCCCAGGGTAGTAATAGTTGGTCCCGCCATTTACCCGCACTTGGTTGAAAATAAATTTCGCTTTTAAAGTCGATCTACTCAACTTTGAATCTCAAACCCAGACAAATAACATTCCCGTGGTTCTCCCGAGTTTTTAAATCGAAATTTGAGGCAAATCATTTAATGAGTTTCTGAGTTATGATCGGACAAACAGAGATTACAACTTTATATACATAGATACTAGCTTGGGAACCCAGCGCGCTGCCAAGGTTAATAAAAGCTACTCCCGCCGTTCACCCGCACTTGAACGATTTTACCGCTAAACTAAATATTTGCTATTAAATTCGACCCACTCAACTTAGAATCTCAAAACCGGACTAAGAACATTCCCGTAGGTCTCCCGAGTTCCCCAATAAAAAATTGAGACAAATCGGTTCAGGGGTTCCCGAATTATGATCAGATAAACAAACAGACAGACAGACAAACAGAGATTATAGATAAACTACTGGATAAAAATATTGTCCATATTCTGCCTAGTTCGTCCCAACCACCTGGATGGAAATTCATGTACGCCGTTACATTGTACACAGCGCCGTTCAGGGCCATCCACGAGTCCTAGGGGAAGAAAACGTTCTCTTAAAGGGATTGTGGACATAATTTCAAGTGACCCATTTAAAGAGGGAAATGTCCGATTTATAACCCTTTAAACCTTTGTGTTTTGAGACATGCGGGATATATCCTTATTTTGCTGATTGAAAATAGATTTTTATCAATTGTGGTTTAAGAGAATTTCGGATTTATCTTGCAAAAACAGTTGTCAGAAAGCAACGTTTTCAGAAAGAAGACTACATCTTCATCCTTGTTACTCAGATACCGGTTGAAAGGGTTTCATCGTAAATCTTCTAAAAGAGAGTCACTTGAAAAAACGTGTTCAGTCCCTTGAACGCATTCTCTCCAATTTATATAAGAAAGTGAATCAAAAATAGTAAAAGCGTGAGACAAATCTCCCACCTTCCTAGTTTTATGTTTTGCAAGCTCTTCTCGTGTTACTTCCCGTATTTTTCCATTAACTCGAGGCCCTCCAACACCTAAAAATACGATTTTTAACCTTATTCCTGTTTTATACAGAACTAAAAAGCTACAAATTTGTTCGAAGGCTTTTAAACCACCTTTCGGTAAATATATAATTTTCAGGTATGGGTAAAGACAAAGGGAAACAGATATCTCCAGTTTTTCATTTTTTTTGCCACACATCCCGTTCGTATAATAAGTCATTAAACTGTTAAATATGATATAAAATTTTGTGTTAATGATAAATAAATTATTGAAAATATGTTTCGGTCTGGGTTGACCCTTGTCAATTCTAGAGATTCTTTTTTTTTATTCCTTGGTTCCAGAAAATAGCTTAAACCATTTTTTGGCAAAAATTTAAAACGTTTTGTCTATTTTTCTCTCGTTTAATTTTTATTTTCTGTCATAAGGTATCTAGAAATTGTAAAAACATTTCAGGTCATTTTAATAATAGCGCGAAAATGTTCCAAGTTTTTTTCTTCTGATATTTATACAGCTACCTGTTAAATCCTTTCCAGACTTTGTAAGCCGCACCCAATCCATTATAGAGAATCCCTTCTGCAGAGCAACTTTGTTTCGTGGAATACCTAAAAGTGTGATTTATTGATTAATGATTTAAAGATAATGCTTTGTGTAGAGCAACTTTCTTTCGTGGATTGTCGAAAATTGAAAGTAATCATTATGAGCAATTTTTACTTGGGTTACCTAAAACTTGTTTAAAAATTTGATTCTTATAGCAATTTTTTTATTTTACAATCTTTATTTTTAAAGGGACTGTAAGCGTAATTTCATGTCACCCTCCATGCAAAGAGGGCAATGCCCGATATTCATCGATACGCTTAAAAAATTCGTGTTCGTCGAGTAGATAAATAAAATAAAATATGTTTAAACTCATCACAACCCGCTTGCATTCATCTGCAAGTTCTAGTGTGCGCTGTGTTAGGAGTAACTCTGAACTCTTGCATAGAGGGTTATATAATTAATAGAATTCATCTATATTTCTATCTGCAGAAAACAATTCGTCAGTGTAAAAGTGTGAAATACTGATTGCTCTAATTGTATGATTTCTGAAAAACGGCGATGAAGCGAATACCAAAATGGAAGCAGATTCAATATTGTAACCTATCATTTACAGAGATGGGCATCTTGTGATCTATCATTTATAGAGATGGGCATCTTGTGACCTATCATTTACAGAGATGGGCATCTTGTGATCTATCATTTACATAGATGGGCATCTTGTGACCTATCATTTACAGAAATGGGCATCTTGTGATCTATCATTTATAGAGATGGGCATCTTGTGATCTGTCATTTATAGAGATGGGCATCTTGTGATCTATCATTTACAGAGATGGGCATCTTGTGATCTATCATTTACAGAGATGGGCATCTTGTGATCTATCATTTACAGAGATGGGCATCTTGTGATCTATCATTTATAGAGATGGGCATCTTGTGATCCATCATTTACAGAGATGGGCATCTTGTGATCTATCATTTACAGAGATGGACATCTTGTGATCTATCATTTACAGAGATGGGCATCTTGTGATCCATCATTTACAGAGATGGGCATCGCTTTTGTGAACGAACAAAATTTTTCGTGAACGGTTGTCGTTGAGAAAAAATAAGGAAAGATGAACGAAAGAATTGGATCTTTCAGAGAAATAAAAAACTGTCGGTTTTTAAAAACGTACAAAAAACAATCGAACGATTTAAAACGTCAAAGATTGTTTACATTTTATAAATCAGCCAGATCGTTTATATTTTACTAAACGAACGATATTTTCTAATTAACTTTTAAAAAATGATTAATTTTTTTCGAACGAACGATATTAATAAACGAACTATCTCACTGTACATAGATAATTGAGGCACTAGGGATATAAAAAGTTATTAGTACCTGTAGCGGAGCCTGAAGCTAGCTGCTGAGAGTTTGGAAGCGGGAACAGACCGCCAGGATTCGGCACACTTTCAGAATATCATTACATTCATTACAAATAACATCTGAGCTGGGAACTTTTGAATCGTGGATATCGGGGTTAATATTTATTCCACTCTTTTTCTTTATCTGCAGATTAAATAATGCTTTTTCTCTTCTTATTATTCTAAAGTTTTCAACTTTGGACATTTTTGTCTAATTCTATCCGTGAATTTTTCACCTTTTAACAGTCATTTACCAAAATGGAAACAAAAATCTAAATTTGTTAGAAGAACAGTTGTATACGGAGATATCAATGATTTTTCTTCTTTAAAAAAAACTTAAAAGCTAAAAAAATAGTCATCAGAAGTTTCATGCAGCAAAGCCGGGAATTTTGAGTTTTAAAAACAAGTCAAATTTTTAACATAAGACTTTATCGATGTGATACCGATTAAGTTTTCGTCCAAAATAATTATATTACTTTTATTTTCCATGTGTCTACTTAGATGCATGAATTCGAATAAGAAAAATTAAAGAGAAAATTTCGTGAGCGGGCAATTTCTGATACAGGGCTGAATACTGTAAATTATTAAAAATCAACATAAAAATGTAATTATGAGGCTGAAAAAAGGTAAGACCTTAATAATGAACACTTGAAGCAAGAGTATCGTTGTGAATCAAACGTGCATCTTCACTTTAAACTAAATTGAAAATACCTTTAAAATAAATTTTAAGAAATAAAATAAATTTTCAGTTTCATTCTGATTTCATAAATGATGTAAAGAATATTAATATTTCCTAAGAGATCCAGCAGTGGGAACTATAAGGTTGGAGGGGAGGCGAGGGGGCATCAGACCCCCTCTACCCGGAGGAGAGGATAGGGGGGGCAACATTAACCCCACACTGGGAGTAGGGCTTGGACTCCCAGGTCTGGACATATTTTCTGAAAAAAAAATCTGAAACATTAATATTTATAATTTAAAACTTTAAAAAAACAACAAATAAAAAAAATAAACACTCATTTCATTTCTAGAAAAAATAATCAAGTTTTGCAAACAATATTGTATTCACATAAATTCTTGGTATAAACTGAGTTTCGTGATAAGTCTCCAGGATTAGTGTTTTTCGTGTTTAACAGACGGAGTAGAATATAAAAGTACCCATCAAGTATTCAAGCTTTCCTTTTTCCAAGTACATAAGTTAACTCAAATCAATTCAATTCAAATATTCAATTTCAATATCAATTCAATTTGGCTCAATTAATCCATTAAAAGGAGGACTTCAAATCCAAATTAACATTTATTAATAAAATGAAAACAATTTTAAATGTTGAATTTTATTCCAAAAAACCGGGTTTTAGATTTGAATTTGCTCAGAGGAAAATTCTTTAGACATTTAAACCTTCTTCTGTATTTATAGATTCTAACATCAATGATTAAAACATTAAAATTTACATTTCTAATTTGGAAATAAACAAAAATAAAAATTTTATTGATCTGATTCCAATTATTTTTCAATGAAAAAATGTTATGCACGTTTTGCATCGAGCTCCGGATACAGCCTTTTTATTTTTTCCTTCTTCTTCCCCTTGTCCGACAACCGACCTAAAATCAGGAAAAAAATATTGTTGGAATATTTCATGTTTTTAGTATTTTTAAGGACCATCCATTTAAAAAGGCGAGCCCATCAAAATTAGTAGCTAAATAACTTATTTCGAAATATCCAACATTTAAAGTTATTAGCAAATTTTTTAATTTCGACTGAATAATTGAATTAAATGATTATTTTCATAAAAAAAATATTTAAAATTTTGAAGGAAAAAAATGAAGCTAAATATTGTTGAAATATGTCAAAAGTGAAAAAACTTAAATAAAAAAGCTGTTATGAACAAAAATTGAAACTATCGAAAGTTCATTTGATCAATAGTTCAACTGTATAATCATAATATTAAATAAAAAATGTAATGGTGTATTTTTAATGTATTTTTTTAATTCCGACTCAAAAATAAGTTTTTCAAAATCTTCATTAAAAAAAAATTTCTGCTGCTTTTAAATATGTATAATTTTATTTTGTACTTGAGTTGTAAACAGTAAACAAAAAGTGTAAAATTGTACTTTTACAGTGTAACAAATTATTATGCAAGTGGAAACTTGGTAATCTAGATCACAGAATAAGGTAAATAAAGATGATCTGGAGTGAAGGGTAAAAAACAAAAATTATCGAGGAACATGCTGCTTGTACATATTGAACATTTAATTGAAGATTTAAAACTGAGATCACTGTACAGCTCATTCTTTTGTAAAGGCTGAAAATAATAGTACAAAATGTATCGTTAAGATACATGACTTAAAGAAGGAAGCAAAAAAAAAATTCTAACAAGGTCAGCAAGAACACCGGTTAAACCCTGTATGAGATCGCTATCTTAAATATAACAGGGCGACGCGCTGTAGATGGCAAAACTCTGTGACAACAGAAAAAATTTAAAAATTTGCCTCTCCTGACCAAATCACACAAGCAACAAAGAGTCTAACAGGCCACATCATAAGATAAGCTAGACTTCTCAAAAGTCGTCTTTACAAACTAGTGCCGTTAGATACATAATGCCCCAGACGGTTGGGCTTAAGATTGGGGTTTAAATAACCCCCAGGAGCCTAAAAGGAGGCAAGAGGTGGGAGAGGGATCCTCAGGGAAGAGATCATTGGACCAATCAAGGTTGAGGATGGGGTCAAGTTTCAGTCCAAGAGTTATTGTGAGTTCCTGGAGGACCATTTTATGATTTGGTACAGAAATCTAAATTCTGAGGTTCAAAAAAATTGTTCTCCAACAAGACAATGCTCCCGTCATGCATTTTGTGAGAACATGGGTTGGCTTGCTAGGCAAGGATTCAGTGACACAAAAATGATGGTCAAAAAGACAAAATGACCTAATTTAAATCCCATTAGGAAATTGTAGGCCATTCTGAAGATGAAAGTTGACCACTCAGGTAGGCATTATAGCCTACAGAGAGAGAGGTGCGGGCTATTGTATAGACAATTAAAGCTAGTGATAGACCAGAGAAAATAAAAAATCTAACCAATTCCATGAAAAAGAGGCTACTGGAGGTCATCAGGAGAATGTGGTTTTTATAGAGGATTAAGAAACCTTTTTTGCAATTTTTTATTGATTGAAATATAATTTTCATAACTAAAACCTTTTAAAATTTGTCGTTTTTATTTGAAAAAAACAAGTTTTCAATCAAATATAAGTATTTTAAAGTCATCTGCATAATAACTTGAAACACGTGTTTTACATATTTTTTACATAGTTTTATTGGTCTATTTTGCTTAAAAAATATTAGCATGTGAATTTTTTTATTAAACGTTTTAATCATAGAAAGTCAATTTTTTGTATAGAACTAATTTTCAAAATTTGCATAATAACTTGAAACGTATTGTATAGTTTAAATGTGAATATTATCTCTTTCTATACATTATAAAACAATAACAAACAAAAAAATTGGCGGATTTTCAAAATTTTACGAAAATCTAGAATTTTTAGAGACAGCTTTTTGTAATTCTCAGCAATCAGCATCCATAAATTATAAATCAAGAACTGTCGTCTTCGTTATGCCAGTGCCGATTTATAGTTTTTTCTAACAGGGTCACCAATGTCTTTGTACTCAATCTTGAATATTAACCTACCTCCTAGCTTCTTCTGAGATTGAACATGAGCACCAACTGACATCCTGGCAAAGAACTTCTCGTCTAACACCTGGGAAATATGGTTTATCGATTTCGTTTTTAATAGCTTCCGAAAAAACAATATTTAGATAAAAAAGTTACCAGAAACAATAGAAAAAGTTATCGTTTTTCGTTTCGTTTTTATTTTTCAACAAAAAATTATCGTTTTTGAATACGATAGTTTTTTAAAACCGATCTTTTTTAAAACGATTGTTTTAGAAAAAATGTTCGCCAAGAAATCTGAGTTTTATGACAAATGTTTTCAATTTGTTTCTGGAAGATAAGGTTATCAATGTTGTGTTAAGCCCCTGAATCTAGAACTAAAATTAAAACCGTTAATTTATTTCAAAATGATGTTTTTTTTTAATTGAAACAAATAACATGAATGTTTTCTGACCTCGGATTTTCCGGATTTTCCGACTTAGGTCGTTGGTATCGGTTTTTACAGATCGTTTTTGAAAACGATAAAATTTTTAGAAACCAAAAATTATCGGTTTTAAAAGCGACCGTTTTTAAAAAACAATATTTAAAAAAAATAATTATTTCGTTTTTCAAAACAGTGGAGATGATCCATCCCTACTCCCTAGGTACTTGCAGTAAAACTTAGCTTGGTTTAAAAGTGGGTTTCCCAAGCTAATATATACATGTAGTGAATGAACGGTGTGGGCCGTCTTGCATTGATGTACTAGATATATTAGTTCAATATGTACTGTGTGTGTGATATATCCTCAATAAATGTTCTGTTTGAACCTGATGAGCTGGTTTCCTCTCCTGCTGTAGTCTCCTTGCTTCCTGTTCTTTAGCTTCCTCTGAACTCCAGACACGTAGCTCACCCCTAGATATAAAGATAGATAGAAAATTAGATAGATAGCCAGACTGACAAACAGAAAAACGGACAAATGGATAGATTGATGATATTCATCTAGTACAAGTGGAGCTATACACAATAATTACCTTTCGGCTGTCATGTACATGAATTTGATCGTGTACAAAAACACATGAACCTGTGTAGAGCCTTTTTACCTTTTATATTTAAGGAATTAATCTTTTAGTAGACCGTGTGAAGTTGTACAGAACCTATTTAACTTTCATGTACATGTAATTCATCTTGTAATAAACACGCAAAGTTGCAGAGAACCTATTTACCATTCATGTACATGAAATTCATCTTATATAGTTTACCTTTCATGTACTTGAATTTCATCGTGTACAGTTTACCTTTCATGTACTTGAATTTCATCGTGTACAGTTTACCTTTCGTGTACTTGAATTTCATCGTGCACAGTTTACCTTTTATGTACTTGAATTTCATCGTGTACAGTTTTCCTTTCATGTACTTGAATTTCATCGTGTACAGTTTACCTTTCATGTACTTGAATTTCATCGTGTACAGTTTACCTTTCATGTACTTGAATTTCATCGTGTACAGTTTACCTTTCATGTACTTGAAGTTCATCGTGTACAGTTTACCTTTCATGTACTTGAAATTCATCATGTACAGTAAAGTAAAAATTTACCTTTCATAAACATGATATAAATCATGCATAAACCCAAGTGAAGTAAGAATTTAACTTTCATGTACACTGTACAAGCCCACATGAAGTACAAATTTACCTTTCATGAACATGAAATTCATCTTGTACAACACCAGGTGGAGCCGTACAAAACAACAGTTTACCCTAAATAAATAATAAAATAATAAAATTCTAAATCTCCAAAAAGGGAAAATTTGATTTTTATCCAAATAAAAGATTCTTATCAAAATTAAAATCTGAATTAACTACAAAATGTTAGAAATATGCTAGAATGAAAATCCGGATTTGGGAAGCCATTAAATCCGATTCTCAGCATATTCCTCAGTTATCTTTATCAAACCTACCGACACAAAATCCTTGAGAATAATCCTGGCAGCTCTGGACTGATCAGGACGACCTCCAATTGCCATAAATCCGCGAATAGTAGCCGCGGCAATCAGAAGCTGTTCCACGCTTAGTATAGCTGGTTCAGGGGGCAATACCATTCCATACCTATATTTATTCGTTCATAAATTCATTCAGAGGTTCCAGTTGAATACATTACAGTCTATTAGTGATTACTCTTATATTTTAATCATATGAACGGCTTACTTGTAAACAAGGAATTCCAGCCAAAAAATGCGAAAATTCCTGCGAAAAAACTTGTCGAATTCTCTGCTCTCAGAGTTTAGCATTACAAGTTTTATATAACATAAATAATAATTTCTCACCCGTTGTGTTCAGAAAATTTTCGCATTCATTTATTTCGCGAAATTTTTCCACTGGATAGTGTGTACTGAGTAAGTATTAGCTGTATTCAAGGGTAGATATATATTTTGTATATATATATATATATATATATATAAAGCTTACTTGTACTCCAGTACATGTGTAGGTATAAGCTGCAGAAGAAGCTGTATACTAGGAACGTGATCTCTAAGTTGATCAACTCCAAGAATACCATTTAGAACCATATCAGCCTAAATGAGTGCATTGATTAAAAATTACAAAACAAAAAATTTCATCACAAATCATCATATTAACAATACAAAGGCTCCGCAGGTATAAGTAAGTAGTCCAATGTAATAAAAATTGGCCAAAAAAATACTTTAATACGTTGCACGTGAAATATATAAGTATTTTTAACTGTGCCTTATTTGTTAAATTGGATTCAATTGTTCTTAAGATTTAAAATCTTATATGTTTTTAATCAAAACTCATTTTCTTAAAGATATATCAAAAAGAAAAAAATATTTCAATTTCTAAGATATATCCAAATAGATCTCTCATATTTGTGTAAAATCAAAACTTAAGTCGTAGCAGTGACCTTCTCCTTCTGTCTAGTGCTAAATCGATGGTCATATTTTTTTAACTTAATTATTTTTAGAAACCAGAAAAATCGGCGAATGAAGGGAAAGGTTGGCACAAAACCTCCTTAAAGCCTAATATTTTTAAAGCAAATTGTTTATAATTACCTTACTCGCCACTACACTTGGCATAACAAGACCAGGGCAATCACAAAGTGTAATATCAGATTCCAAAACAAGAGTCTAAAAAAACATTGAAAACTTAGATTTAGATGATATAAAGCTTGAGAGAAAAGGCACTAAAAAATAGCTCTTTAAAGGGACTGTAGACCTAATTTCAAGTTACTCTCCATTTAAAAAGATTGGCAAGACAGATTCCCAATGGCACCCTTTCAACATTTAACTATGCAAATATTACAAAATAACAAAAAATAAATTTTTTTTCATCGAAAAATTGATTAATTTCTATTGTGGTTTCTATAAAAGCGATATTCAGAATTAAATTATAATAAAGAAATCAGATAAAGGTTTAAACTTTACAGAGTATCACTGCGAATTGGACATGACACTTGTAAAATAAATGGTCTTCAGAAATTACTTCTACAATCCCTTTAGTTATTTCAACTGGAGTTTTATCATAAAAAATTCTAAAAATAAACTGAAAAGTTTTAAAAATTTGTAAAAAAGATTATTGGATTTATTTTTTTGGATAAAAATATTTGACCTGGAAATGTTTAGTTTTCCCTGGAGTTTCTGAAACTCGAACTTTTTTTGAGTTAAGTAGCTTGTTAATCGTCGAACTCTTACCAACATTGGGATATCCAATAAACCCTACACAGTCGAATATTAAGCTGCGTGGGGATAAGGTTTTTAATTTATACTTTATAGTGAGAAATCTATGGGAGTAGAAAATACAAAAAGCTTTGGTCGCAGTAAAACTAGGATATCTCCATTAATAAAAATAAAAATAATAGCCATTCAATCAACAGTATTTAGAAATCAAAGCTGATTTCCCGCCAAAAAAAATCATGGACATTTTAAAACCTGTTGGAAATTGACGTTAGCGTAAAAGAATATGGGCAAATAAGTACCATTGTGAAGCTTCTAACGGATTTGTAAAAAGGAAACATAAATTGCGATTTCGTTAACACGGTCCCTTAGATTTAAACATTTTTAAAAGGGGGAGTATTTCAGCAGCTTAATATCTTCTTTCCTACAGTCATATCTTCATTCTCAAATCTTTTAAAACTTCGGAACAATTTTATCAATCTTGCCGAGGTCAAAATCTCACAAGGATCCGAAAAGTCAGCCTCCAACGGAACTTTCTCCTGGACAGCCGGCCCTACCGGGGTAGGCTCTTTGGGATTTTCCTGTTTCTCATTCCCAACCTCCTTGTTCTCCTCCTCCCCCTCCTCCACTACAGGGTTGTCCTCCTGGATGGCGGAGAAGAAAGCAAACCTTGTCTCCCCGATGTTCTCCGTCATGTATTTAGCCCAGGCCTGCCTGCTCATTACCAGGATTAGGAGAAAAATTGTTCAACATTTTGGTTACTTTCGATTTATTTGTGATGGACTTTTGGTTGACTTCCGGTCTACTTCCGGTTTAGTTTAAGTCCGTTTTCAGTCAACTTTTGGTTTATTAGCAAACTATTGGCAAACTTATAGTTAAATTTTGTTCGGTTAACGATCAGTAAATTATTATTTAACTATTGGTAAACTTTTGGTAGACTTTCGGTTAACTTTTAATAAACGTTCGGTTATATTTTATTTTTACTTTATTTTATTTTATTTTATATTTATATTTAACTATAGGTTAATTTTAGGTTGAACATTACTTTTTACTTTCAAGAAAACTTTTGGTTGAACTTCGGTCAACATTCGGCTAACTCTAGGACAACTTTTGGCAAAATTTTGGTTATTTATTGGTTAACTATACGTCTGCTTTTGTTAGCTATCGGTTAACTTTCAGTTTACCTTTGATTAAGTTTGGCTATCTAAATAATCAATTATCAATTTATGCTGAAATTGAAGAAAAAAAGTGAAGATTTTTTCTAATCCAAGCATTCCTTTGTTCAAGACTAAGAAAATCTGCTTTGTTAACGAGAATTAAATTTTTCTTTAAGTTTGATACTTCTTTCACGTACTTCTCTAGATCCTAGAAAAAAATTTGATAAAACAAGATCAATACAGATCAAACAAAACAAATATCAATGTAGATCAAACACGATCAATATAGATCAAACAAGATAAATATAGATCAAATATCTTCAAACAGGATGAATATAGATTAATTATGGTCAAACAAGATCAATATTGATCAAACATGATCAAAAAAGATCAATATAGATTTAATATGATCAAACAAGATCAATATAGATCAAACATGATCAAACAAGATCATCATAGATCAAAAAAGATATAACAAGATACCTGAGATCTGAAAAGAAGAATATTTCTGGAGTCTACAATCTGAATTACTAAATCACTTCGCTCAATTACCCTCCACAACTGTCTCCAAAACTCTGAAAGGTTTATAATTTTTCAGTCCAAACGGTTTTGAATAACTTTCGCTCAATAAAATTTCCCAAAAAATTCATTGAGTAATTTTATAAATCCACACCCCTGCAGGGGAAAAAAGAAATTACCTAAATTCTTCTCGTAAGGTGTAATAATTGTGTCGGTTTCTTCTTGGATCTCTGCCAAGTTTCTAAACAGACATGAACCTTAAGATGAAGTCATGCGCAAAGTGAGTTTTCAATCCATCAGAACAGACAGACAGAACGCTGATGTGTGTCAAGTTTTAAATTATAATATAACACTTTTTTACCAATTTTAATGATCAGATTACAGGATACTTTAAATTTTAATTAAATGGAGTGACTGGGAATGTATGGTAGATGAACTGAAAATTTAGTATTGAAGAGAAATTTTTTTTGGGATCATTTCAGACCTTCATGCATGCAGGCGCGTAGTTGGGGGGGGGGGCGGTACCCCTGTGCCCCCCCTAGAGCCAGAGGCAGCCTCTAATTTATTAAACAGTAAACTTATATAATATATATGTATTCAGATTTTTTACTTTTCTTATCAATCAGATTATGGTCAGATGACTAATAGTCAGCTTTCAGGTAAATTAATTTAGATTTTAAACTTTATTTTTTCTTAATACCGGTTTTTAGGGGGGGGGGGGGGCAATCAACCGTTAGGGGCGTGCAAAAAAATGAACCCCCCTAAGCTAAACCTCCACTACGCGCATGCATGCATCTAGTAAGTTTGTGGCAGTACGCCAGTACGAGAGAACTTCAATAAAAAATAATCAAATTTCAGATAAGAAAACAAGGATAACTATGAGCTTTTGAATCATATTTAAGGGCATCAGTGAGAATAGGACATGCAACTCGAAAAACCCTTTAATAATTGAAACTTCTGATATCAGGAGGGAAGAGGTTAGCTCAGTTGCTTTTTTTATTAACTGTTGTCAACAAACCTTCTCCAATCCAGAAAAGCATCGTTCTCTGCATCCTTGAGCTCTGTTGGAGTTAATCCCTTCCAGTCCGGTCTCCGGGGTATAGATAAGATCTGTTCAGCAGCTGATAGAACTCGTCCTTCTCCTTTTGCTTTCTCTGAAGTGTCGATATACACCTTAAAATGAGATATTATTATTTTCTCCCAAAAATTATCAAGAAATATCTGAAAAATATTCATCCCTGTAATTCTTTTTATAAATATCACCTGTCTTGTATGAGCATCTAATAGTTTTACATTCCACTTCTCAGCATCAAAATCAGTTCTAAATTAACAAATATTAATCTTATATTGAACATTTTGTATGGTTAATCTAGCCCAAACAATCACAATGATCCGACCAAATAGAAGTTACAAAAAATCTTTTCTCGGAAAATATGTGAGAGCAAAAAAAACAAGTCAGCTGTTTGCCACCAATTAAGCATTTAATCACAATTCAAGTTTCAGTAATCGGTCAGACCTGGCCTGTAAGTTAGAAAGAGTAATAATTTTAAAAGTAAAGACAATTATTTCACAATAACATTGAAATAAAAATATAATATCATATTCTAGTCTGAGATAACACATTCTGACATGACACTTTACTCCCTTTAAGTACTATATGCACCCAATTAATGAAATGTATGTACTCAATGTACTGTACCTGGCCTGTTCTGCTGTATTGAGGAAGTCTATGTACGAGGCTTCTTCAGTTACTGATTTCAGATTCATTCTTCCCCAGTCATAACCATCCTGAGAATATAGATCAATATGCAATCTGTCAGTTCATTTGACCAGTGGTGATCTCAATGAACATGGATGAAAATTGGGATCACACCGTGATCAATGATCATACATTGATATGGGTTATCATACAGTGATCAATAGCGTGTAATCATACTTTAACCATGGGTGATTATATTGACCAAAGAGGATCAATGATCAAACATTGATTATTAGTGATTTTATAAAATTAACAAAGGGTGATCACTGATTAGAGTTTAAACAGTAATTATGTTGCACACGGTGATAACTACTTCAAGGGAAAAACTTTAATAATCGGTTCTGCATGGTTTTCAGACCAAATTGGTAAAAGATTCGAAAATCTAGAATTAATCTGGAGACATATATTGGTGAAATTCTGAACCTGTAATTCTGCAGTGTGAAGGTACCCCTCTCCTACTGGTGCTCTACCCCCCACCTTCCTAACAGCAGTCTGACTTTTAGTCAGCTGCCGACCCAGGTTACCTCCACCTTTTTTACCCATTCTTTATCTGAAATAGGAAATATTTCTCAGCGAAGGTAAAAAATAAAAGTTTGAAAAAATTTGTTTGAAAAATCTGATTTTATTCCCAAATGCCTCCGCCCTGTGTGCTCTGCTTGATATTCTGTTTATTGTCTCGCTGTGATCTGGTTTTTGCACTTGCCTCACCCCGAGCAACCTGCCGGATTATTTTATCAATTAATTAATCCTCGGATTAAAGGTTGACTTTTATTTATATATTTATTAATACTGTTGACTTATTTCAAAAGACCTTCTTTTCGATTCTCAAGAATACCTTTTAAACCTTTATTGATCAAGAATAAGTGAGAAATCGTTTTTTTTCTATCTTAAGATTAATTATAAATTTATATTTTGGTTTCTTTTAAAGTGACCAGAGCAGTTATTCTGCAGAAACAAAGATGGAAATCAATAGATTTCAACACTTTGGAAAGGAAAAAGAGATAGCTTACTCACTGTTACTCAGATAGATATTAAAAGGGTACCGAAACTTGAAATCATATTTTCAACGCAATTTAATTTATGAAGAGATTTAACACATGGATTTTTGTTTTATTTGAAAAGAGCAAAACTCTCCTTGAAGCAATTCACTATTTCTTCAATTCATCATTTAATAATATATATATTATATATAAATCATAATCGTGGTCAGTTTGTCAAAAAAAATTTAAATAATTCTCAAACATTTTCATCTATTAATCAATCCAACCCACCCGCTAGAAATCCACCAACTATTCCCCAGTTTCCCTTACCTGTCTCCTGGCCTGGCCGGATTTCCCGCGTTTTTCCAATGATGCGCGTACTCGGGCTTTTATTACTTCCGGTGCAATAGTAGACGAGGTGGTGGAAACACTGCGGACAGAAAATGTATCTGAATCCTGAAAAAAAAAATATATTTTGACTTTTCTTCGATCTTATATTTTGGAATGACTTTGGATATAATGGAGAAAAAATTGAAATTAGAACATTTAAAGTTTCTATCTTTTTTTAAAAAACGTTTTCCGCATAAAATCAATAAAATCCCCCCATACACACTAAAAGTAATTTTATTTACCCAATTCAGCGAAAAAAATCACTAATTTACAAAAATTAAAATGCAGAAGTCCTATATAAAATGCAGATGTAAAGTTAGATTTAAACAAATAGATTATCAAGTACAATAGGTGGCACCAGATATATGAACAAATTATACACGACGTCACAAGTGTCAAATATAACAAGGAAAACAATATTTTCTCACATTAGTTGACATGCTTCCAAAATTATATGTAAGTGTAAAAACAGAAAATAAAGAACACATAAAATTAATATTTTTCACTGTAAGATAAGCACTTATATCTAAAAATATTACTATTATTAATAATTTTTTCGGACACAAAAACTGAGTTGACAATTGTGACGTCAGAATACAGCTGTACTGAGTGTACAAATTCTACGTTGCCATCTATTGTTTACTAGAATCTATTTAGATTTAAATTTCCTAGATCAAAATCTCTTTTCTACTTTTTCTTTTTTCTACTATTTTTAAGGTCTTTAATAAGAATTAACCTGTCTTACCCTAGGTTGGCCATCCCTAAAAGGTTTAAATCTTGAATTAAAATCTTTCAGATCCTCAATTTGATCATCTTCATCTTCCTCCCCTTCAGATTCAGGCTCTGGACCAAGGTTGGTTTTCTCCGGAGCAAGATTTGGAATCTCAAGATCAGATTGTTTAGACTCAACAAAATTTACAGCAGCTTCCACTTCCTTTCTCAGTTCCTCAATAGCAGCTTCATCTGTTATATCCTCCAGGACATCTTCTTCCTCCTCGACATTATGCTCAAGAATTTCATCTTCCTCTTCACCACTCTCCTCATCCTCATCCTCGTCACTGAGCATACCAAGCTCAGCCATAATATCCTTCTCCATCTGAAATTAGTGAGTTTTTATATTCCAAAATCTGAGAAAAATTGATCCTGGTAAATCCTTAAACCTTAGAAAACTTTCAATGGAGTGTCGTGGTAATTGCAATTGACTCCCTGTTTCACGTGGGACATTTACAAAGATACCCTTAACATCTTTATCTGATCAATGATTTCGCAGATATTGTAACTTTTCTAGTTTCATAACTCCTCCATAGTGTCTACAGCAGATTTTTGCAAGTAACTCAAGAAAAGAAACCACGATTACAAATTATCAGGTTTTAAACGAAAACATGGATATCGAATTAATAATCGATCAGACAAAGGTTTAAGGGATTAAGTTGTGAATCAGACATGCCACTCAATCAAAAGGTCACTTGAGATTTCTTTTACAAATTTTTTAATGCACTCTTTTCAATAATTGGTACCTCGCGCAATGACTAAGTAGTTAATATGTTTCTTGAAGAATGATCTGACCTGTTTGGTGACCCCACTAGCTGCTACCTCGGCATCTAGCGCGTCTATTCTGAAGATATCTTGGAAACAAGGTGCCAGTTCAGACTCATAGTTAAACCTAGTCAACAACAATGTTAACATTTATTTTCCTAGTCTTGATGATTTGCTTGTGCTCAATAAACGCCATAAAACGGGTAAATCGATTGGGTTTAACCGCCGTAATTGAAATGAAGCAAGAAAACGTTTGTAAATAAATTAATTAATAAAATTAATAAATGGACATTTTTTCATCGAATTAGCTTTAAATGTAGAAAGAAGAAAAGCATGCATATTTAATATTCATCATGTGGAGGGTTAGTTCAATAATTCTTTTATTTGAAAAAAATAAAAAAATTTTTTTTTTGTTATTTAACACCGTCCCTACCGCCTTTTAAAGAAGTCTCTGATACAAGTGACATCTCTGTCGAAATAAAACTGTGCATCCACATGAGCTGTCGACACCATTTGAGGGAAGTCGATGATTATCGGCTGACATTTGTCGTCTTCACAAATACAAGATGATCAACACTCTTTTGAAATAAAAAACAGGTGTATTTTTTATAAAAAAGTATTTTAAGATGAGAGGGGGGGGGATGAAAAAGCCAGCTTTTTTTTTTGATGATTTATACCAAAAAAATCATCAGACAAATAAAATAAACAAACTTAAATAAAATAAATTTTCCCAAAAAAATATATAACACTCATAGAAATTGATAGAGAATAGAAGAAATAGAAAATGTCGTCTTGTATTCCTATCATAATATTGAACTCGTTGTAGTCTCCATGAATGACTCCGTGATTTGCAAACTTTAGAAGAAGATTCATAAGTTTATCATACAGCTCTGTTGAACCAACCAAATATATCAATTCACTAGCTCAAGTGCGCAGCGTTGCTCGTGAAAAAATTTGAATTTAAAAATGTCACCACCAGGGCACTTTCGAGTTTCCGCAACAAAAATGCTGCCTATTCGTTCTATCTGTTGGTTGGTTGGTCAGCCATAGCTAACATATAAATAAGCGAGGAAATAGATTACAGGTGTAACAGGATTATTTTTCATTTATTTAGAGCATAAAATAACTTCATAAATTTTACTCAAAATGAAGAGATCTTCTATATTTAATATGGTTCCTGCAGGGTCTTCCACATCATTAACATTCTGCAGAGGATATCCATCTACTAGATCCATTATCACACAGTGCCGGTTAAAATCTAATCAATCAATCAATCAATAACATTCTGCAGAGGATATCTGTCTACTAGTGCCGGTTAAAATCTTATCAATCAATAAATCAATCAATCATTAGCATTCTGTAGAGGTTTTATCTAATAGATCTATTATCACAAAGTGCCGGTTAAAATCTTATCAATCAATAAATCAATCAATAACATTCTTTAGAGGGTATCCACCTACTAGATCCATTATCACACAGTGCCGGTTAAAATCTAATCTAATCAATCAATCAATCAATCAATCAATCAATCAAGCAAGCAATCATTAACATTCTGAAGAGGATATCCATCTACTAGATCCATTATCACACACGGTTAAAATCTAATCAATCAATAAATCACTCAATCAATAACATTTTTCAGAGGGTATCCAGTGCCACCTACTAGATCCATTATCACACAATGCCTGTTAAAATCTAATCAATTCTTCAATTATTCAATCAATCAAAAAAGTAATCAATTCTTTCGAATCTTTTAAGCTGAGAATACTTAAATCCATAAGGATAGATAGCATATTTAGACAAAGATAAGTCTTATTAACATACCTATTGGGGTGGGAACTGGGAATCCTCGATTCTTCAAGGCTTTCATGTACGCAAACTCCTGAAGTATTTTCATTCGTTAACTGGTATTTCCATGGACGTAAACCACTTGAAGTATTTTTATGTACGCAAACTATTGAAAGTATTTTCATGTACGCAAACTATTGAAAGTATTCTCATGTACGCAAACTGTATTGTCATGTGCGCAAACCCCTAAAATTAAACTCCAGAAAGTATTTTGATGTACGCATGAACTGTTATATTCATGTACGGAAACTATTATATCATTTACGCAAACTCCTGAAAGTAAATTGATGACCCCCCCCCCCCCTACCTTTGTTGCAGATATTCTAGAGAGATATAGCCACGACATAGATTTCCTTCCTTTGTGATAATCTCTCTTCTCCCGAACCTTTCTGAAATGTCATCTGGTTCAGACACAGGAAGACCTACAGTGCTACCCAGAAAATTACGGAAAGAACGCCAACTTTTACGAATTCAAAAAGTCAAATAAACATAACACACAGCAATTGTGCAGTTTACACAGACCTATTTTTATAGCTTCCAAGGAGACAGTTAAAAAGAAGTTGTTTTTTAGAGGTTATTCTAAATACTTTTGCGGAATCTTAAATTTCAAAATTTGAACGTACGTCGTTCATCTGACATTCTGGATACAGATCCAAATCATTCATTACGACCAGTGGCCGCGATTTAAATAATTTAAAGAAACAAGACTCAATCATAGAATGCCGTCGAGACTTTGATAAGGCTTAAGCCTTGAGACATGTTAGGTTTAATTTTCCTATAAATGTTTCTAAATGCTTTAGAATTTTTAGTGAAAAATAAGGCCAAATTGACACTTGACACGTTTTAAGGTATAGTAAAACGACGATATCTTCCAATCATTCCAAGAATAAGGGTAANCACCTTAAGTTTGGTAAAATAGATAGTAACTGTCAATCACGTGACACAACCTATCGTCAGCTCCTTCTTAAGTTGGGTCTAAGATGAAACTTTAAACCCAGGTTTACCAAGTCTAAGTTTTAAACTGTGCTCTAGAATGGATCTCTAGTGAATGAGATGAATGATAAATGGAAAACCTGAAGCAAGTTCTGCCAAGTCTGTGGAGCTTGAGACATCTTTGATCACCACCAGGTCCTCCCACAACATAAATATTCGACTCCTTTCCTGATCAATCAATCAATTAATCAATAAATCATGATAAATCAATCAATTTAATCGTTATAAATGTATAGTTAAAAAATAAAATAAATAATCGACGAATTAACCAATATATCATCATTCACATATTAGAAAACAAGTAATCTAATCAATTAAAAATTCAAATTAATCCAATTAAACAAATTAATCAATAAATCATCAAATCAAATCAAATCAAATCGAATCGAATCAAATCAAATCAATGCAGTTTATAAAGCCATCATGTCTCTCAAGCAAATCAAATAAAAAAGCAAATCATATCTTTCAAGCCAGTCAAGTCAATAAAATTTCTCAAGCCACTACCTGTCCCGATCTGGTTCCCAAAGGATCCGATGACATCTCTTGAAGTCAAAGTCTTCAAAGCCAGGTAATCATATCCAGCATTCGTTAAACGATACCCATCATACCGGGGGCCTTGAATAATATTTTTCATCTATATGATAAAACAAGAGATTCGTATGTATATATATATGTTGCGAATAGCCGGCCAAACGGGTTGACCGATTGGGCTGACATTTTTTGTGGACACTCATGGGTGGCCGGGGGCTGTCATAGGTTAAAAGAAATTCGAAAATTTATTTTTCAAAATTATTCTATTTTATTTTTTTTTCAAATATTTTTTTCCCATTTTTTTTCCACGGGTAACACCGGGCCCTTCAGCTAGTTATTTATAATCATATTTCATCTTTTTTAAAGTTTAATTCAAAATATTGAATATTTTTAAAACTCACGAAAGGCAAAGCATGAAAAACTAAGATTTCATTTCCAGTGAAGGTTGTTGAAAATCATTTGCAGTTATAGTTCTTTCAAAATAATCATAAAATTCTGGTTGTACTTATATATTCTACAAATTTAGATATATTTAAAACCATTAAAAATAAAATTTTTATCAATATTTTAAAATTCACCATTTCATATTAATTAGATAAGATAAGATAAGATAAGATAAGATAAAGTTTATTGCTAAAATAAATGTATCTGTATACAGATAGAGTTTACAATTACAAATTGATGATTATAATAACAGTACAAGTATAAAGCAATTAGGTGGAAAATAGCTCTTGGCTGTTTTGATTATTTTTTCCACCTAATTTTAGTAATAATAACAAAACATTTTAAGTGAAATATTATCCTGGATCATTTAGAAGTTTGAGATATTGAGAAAATGCGGCACCCTTTAGACTCCCCTCCCTTCTTAAAACTAAGCTCCGCTATGTGTGTGAAATATGTCTACATAACAAAGCTCTTCGCTCATTTATATATGTCAGCTATATCCAAACGGCTGGACCGAATAAATCAGTGCTTAGGATCCATATAATTTGGATGCAGATCCGGATCCTGGATCCGCACTGGAAAAAATGGATACGGATCCAAATCCGGATCCAGGGTGTTTCTTATTCACTGAATTTTTAACAAAGCAGAATTTTGAAATGTGTTGTCTTTTTTCGTTATTTATATGCTTAGACTTAATGAACCATTCAGAAATCTCTCTTTTTTCAATAGTTAAGATTTGGTTTTGAGAGTAAACATTATTTTGCAGGTTTTGGTTGATATTTTGCCCCTTGGAACTATTGTGTGATGTATCGTTAATCTTAAACTATTTAATCTGAGAATAAACACTTCCCTTAAAGATAACCATAAAGAGTAGGACGACCACTGAAAATCGAAGAGGTCTGCTTAAAGGGAGTGTTCGCGAAAAATGAAAGGGGGTATAGACTTACGGCGATAAATAATCGCTTTTGATCGTTACTACTCTTACTTTTATCTGTTGCGTCTATAATGAGAAAATTGTTAAAAACATCTCATACCAAAGAATGTACATTCCTTACAAATTCAGAAAGATGCAACATACGACACGGATCGTAACAAAATCAATTTAATTCCATACAAAGCATTCAGATATTACAAATTAAAGTCATCGATTATTTTTCGATGCATTCGTGTATAGTTAATATTTCATAATATTTTTTACTTTCTATGATCTGAGAGTGACTTTTGAAAACATTCATTCCTGTTTCAAGGATTTTGATAATGAAGACGACATTTTCCATATTTTCCGGGAATGTGCCAGTCGTGAAAACATGTAAGCGAAATATTAATTTAAAAAAAAAAAATTAAAAATATTATGAAATATCAACTGTATACAAATGCGTCGAAAAATCATCGATGACTATAGGATTTAATTTCTAAATCATTTTTTTGATATTTTTACCATCCAAGTCGTATGTTCCAACTTCCTCAATTTGTATGAACGCTTCCTTCTTCGGTATAAGACGTTTTTAACAATTTTCTCCATATGGACGCAACAGATAGAAGGAAGATTAGTAGCGATCAGAAGCAATTATCTACCGCCGTAAGCCTATACCCCCTTTCATTTTTCGCGAACACTCCATTTAAGGTTTAGACCAATACTTGATCCTGAGGCTCTCAACAAACAAGGTTTTACCACTGAACAACTGATTATCTATCTTTTACCTCTCTCGTAGGACAGAAGTCTGTGTTTACATAGTTCCCTTAACATCTTGTGTACTCCACCATGTCGTAGACTAGCTATACTGGCAATCAAGGAACCTAGGAACATCAATTCATATTTAGCTCAGTTAGCAAAATCCATTCCTTCTGTTTAAACTTGGTGTCCCGTGAAACTTGACAGAAGAAAGACGACTTCTTAGTTATATGTAGTGTGTACTGTTTACCTGGTATATAAATTTCATAAAAGTGGTACAAAAATGTTTAAGTCTATGTCATGGGTAAGTACCCACTACCCATGGTCTATGTACTGTGTTATATATGTTCTGTGTACTGTATACCTGGTACATACATGCCTTAGTTCTATGTACTGTGAACTGTTTACCTTGTACCTAAATGTCCTAGTTCTGTTTACTGTATACCTGGTACAAAAATGTCCTAGTTTTTTTGTACTGTAAACAAGGAACATAAATATACGAGTTATATGTACTGTGTACTAGATACCTGGTACAAGTTCATGATTCTTCATTCCCATCTCTACAGCAGTTAGAACCCTGAAGTCCTCGCGGGTTAGGTACCTTAAAGGTTACTTATCTAGTACATTTATAAAGTAGTAATCTCAGATTGTCCCATCATAATTCACGAACCCCTTGACCGAAAGGTATCAAATTTTGATGGGGAAACTCGACATATCCACGGGAAATCTGATTGAAGAATTCTCAGTTGAGTACTCATATCCAGACAGAGCTGGATTTTTAAGTTAGTGTTTCAATATTTCGATTATAAAGAAGTTACATTAACAAAGAGCTTTGTCATCAGCAGTATTTTATTTTATAGGCTCTTGTAAAGTTGGAAAAATTATATATATATCTATTTACACGCATCCCGCTTGATTTTAATTAAGCCATATTTAAAGCGTTCCAACCCAAATCTTCGAAACAAGAGTGTAAAATATCCTTGGTAAAAATAAAATATATCAGATAAAATAGAATTTCTGAAGAAATATAAGCCGAAGTGAAAACGATAATCTGGAAATTTTATTTTAAGACAAAATTTTATAGTTTAAACACTTGACTTTCGAGTGTTGTAATGTACTATTGAAGGGAGTGTTCGCGAAAAATGAAAGGGGGTATAGGCTTAATGCGATAAAAAAGCGCTTTTGATCGCTACTAATCTTACTTCTATAAGGAGAAAATTGATAAAGACGTCACATACCGAAGAGCGATGCGCCCATACAAATTGAGGAAGTTGGAACATACGACTTAGACCGTAACAAAATCAAATTAATATCAAACAAATCATTCAGATATTACAACCTATAGTCATCGATTATCTTTCGCCACATTTGTATATATTTAATATTCCATACTAGTTTTGATTTTGTTTTTTAAAATAATATTTAGCTTACAGCTTGTTTTCGAACATTCCTGGAAAATATGAAAATGTCGTCTTCATTACCAAAAATCCTCGAAACAGGAATAAACGTTTTTATAAGTAACTCTCAGATCATAACAATTAAAACATATTATGAAAAAACAACTATATATAAATGTGGCGAAAGATAATCGATGACTATAGGTTGTAATATCTGAATGATTTGTTTGAAATTAAATTGATTTTTTTACGGTCTAAGTCGTATGTTGCAATTTTCACAATTTGCATGGACGCCATGTTATTCGGTATGAGACGTCTTTAACAATTTTCTCCTTATAGACGCAACAGATAGAAGTAGCGAACAAAAGCGCTTTTTTATCGCATTAGGCCTATACCCCCTTTCATTTTTCGCGAACACTCCCTTTAACACTGTTTATAATTTTTAAAAAGGTGTAGTTGATCATTTTGAAATTTGACTATTACACTTAATAAGCGTACATTTGAAAAAGATTTGTTTAATCAGTTGAAAACGTACCTTAGCATAGTTACATTTAGCTTCCCCATTTTTACTTCTGAAAAAATAATACATTAATGTTTTGTTTGCATTCGTTGATACACATTACATTAGAAATAAAACAAAATTAATGAAGCTATTTCATAACTCTAAAAAAAAAAATATTAATTTCCCCAGTATGCTTTTTAAAGCTTTCCGCTAAGGTAAAGTTGAAGGGAACTTAACAATTATTTCGATTAAATAAAATTTTATATAAATAAAAAGCAATTTTTATTCTGAGACAATAAATATCAAACAAATGAGCATTGAAGAATCTACATTTCCATTAAAATCCTGAACAATCCCTTTAAGAAAAAGCTAGTATTGTCCTATTGTGTATTACAAATCTCAAACCTGATAAAAAAGCGTTTTTTAGGTCAAATCTTGGACCCAATCACAGCCAAAGTTTCATAAGAATATATTCAAGAAATATGAAATAAAATACTGTTCAACAGAATTAGATTGCATCAGTATGAAAGGCTAGCATAGTACATGTATTTTCTTTATTACAAATCCACAGAGGAAATGTATTGCACATGCGCTATCTAGAAAGTCTTATGAACATTGCATGTACTATCTAGAAAGTCTTATGTAAAGTGCATGTGTTCTCTAGTCTCATGTACAGTGCATGTGCTATCTAGAAAGTCTCATGTAAAGTGCAATGTTCTCTAGTCTCATGTACAGTGCATGTGCTATCTAGAAAGTCTCGTGTACAGTTCATGTGTTCTCTAGTCTCATGTACATTGCATGTACTATCTAGAAAGTCTCACATACATTGCATGTGTTCTCTAGTCTCATGTATAGTACATGTGCTATCAAGAAAGTCTCCTGTGCAGCGCATGTGTTCTCTAGTCTCATGTACAGTGCATGTGTTCTCTAGTCTCATGTACAGTGCATGTGCTTTCTAGAAAGTCTCATGTACAGTGCATGTGCTATCTAGAAAGTCTCGTGTACAGTACATGTGCTATCTAGAAGGTCTCATGTACAGTGCATGTACTATCTAGAAAGTCTCATGTACAGTGCATGTCTGCAATCAGTAGACTCCTTGGTAAGATATTTATGATAGAACTCCTTGACAAATTCCTCCACCTTCAAACCCAATATTCAACAATTCTATATATATAAAGTTAAAATCTCTGTTGGTCTGTTTGTTTGTTTATCGGATAATAACTCAGGAACCCCTGGACCGATTTGCCTCAAATTTAGATTTAGCGCCACGAAAATAGTATTTGCTTAGTTTTGATATTCTAAGCTAAGTGGATCGACTTTTATCAGGATATTAGTTAAAATCGAAATTTATGACAAAGCGCGGGTAATCGGTGGGGGGACTAAATATGACCCCCCAGTGCAACTCGATATGGAACCCCCAGACCACCTTCAGTGCGCAGTGCATCAACATGCAGCGTACATTGCTTAGGAACTAACTAAATGCCGGGAAAATCCTACCCAAAGGACACAACAGAAGAAAGACGTTCTGTGTAAAATTGTAAATTATATGCTGACTAGCAGAAGGGCCCGGAATTGCCCGTGAAAAACAAATTTGAAAAAAATTTGAAATTTAAAAAAAAAAATTAAATGATCGATTTTTTTTCAGCCTATGACACCCCTCGGCCAAACATGAGTGTCCCCAAAAAATTTCAGCCCATTTGGTCCAGCCGTTTGGCCGGCTTATATGTATAAGAATGTCATTTTTTATTATATAGATGTAATACAGGGTTACCCACAAAGGATGAGAGTTCAGATACGAATGTCTGTTTCCTCTGGGTAATGAGTACGTGCAACTGTAAACATGTTTCTTTCTTTTGCCCAATCATTAACAAGAACTTTGTGGGTATTCCTGTATTACAAATTAAGTTCAGAGCATGCAATAAAAAAACTTTTGAACGAAAATGTCTAACATATATTTTAAGAATGTTGAATAAATTCCTTGAATCCAAACTTCTGGTAGAGAAGTAGCGCAGGGTTGGATGCTGATACATGTAGGGTTATATCTTTACTCAAACTGGTTTGTATCAGATGGTATAGCATATATGTTCCTGAATATATAGGATACAGGATTATATCTTTACTCAGACTAGTTTTTATCAGATGATACTGAACTATTTATGTCGTGCTTTAAAAATACTATTCCTACCTAGCCTCCTCTATTACTACTGACCTATTCCTAGCCTACTCCAGTAATACTGACCTATTCCTGCCCTACTCTAGTAATACTGACCTATTCCTAGCCTACTCTAGTAATACTGACCTATTCCTAGCCTACCTCCAGTAATACTGACCTATTCCTAACCTACTCTATTACTACTGACCTATTACTAGCCTACTCTAGTAATACTGACCTATTCCTGCTCTACTCCAATCTGGATGAACTAAGAAATATGAAAGATAACTCTCATTCCATCCCGAGTCTGGCACCAGAAATCCAAATCCAATGACTAGAAAACAAATTAATATTTAACAATACGTATATATACAGTGGTCGTCGTATATATCAATACAGTAAAGACGACTTTTCAATTTTGGGTTATATTAAGCATTTGTACAAAAGAGACGCATAAACATGTAAAAAAGATGCTGTCAATGAAATGGATAAATATAATTATAGTTAATAAAAATATTAAACTTTTGAAAATTGAACATTAATTACTAGGCAGCTTGTGTCATTCTTTTTGATACTTAACAAAATTCACGCGTTTTTCCATAAAAGTCATTTATTTTCCCCAATTCCCCCAAAAGGGGAAAGGGGAAGAAAAATGACTTTATTGACTTGTGAATTTTATATTAAACTTTCGAGGATTTTCATCCACTACAATACCTAGTTTCCTATAAAGAACTACGCAGCTGAAGTCAGGATACTGAAGGACCTCAGAAACATCAATACCTAGAAATCATATAAAAGAAAGAGCGTGGTAGACCCCAATATGGGATCCCAGACCGCTATCGGACGTTAAGGGCACCGCGGTTCCCAAAACCCGTTAACAATATGGTTTCCAACGCAATCTAAAGAGAATGTTTTATTGAGTGGCATTGACTATTTACAACAGCGGCGTCCCTCAAATCCAATCCAATCCAATCCAATCCAATCAAATCAAATTCAATCCAATCTGATCCAATCCAATTCAATCCAAAATCAAAATCAAAATCAAAATCAAAATCAAAATCAAAATCAAAATCAAAATCAAAATCAAAATCAAAATCAAAATCAAAATCAAAATCAAAATCAAAAACAAAATCAAAATCAAAATCAAAATCAAAATCAAAATCAAAATCAAAATCAAAATCAAAATCAAAATCAAAATCAAAATCAAAATCAAAATCAAATCATTTTTAGTTGAGCGAATGTATTAGTGGAAAAATGGGAAGAATGGAAGTAGGCGATAAATTAAGGTCAGATATGAATCACTAGATACCATATATAGACCAGGACCACCCTTTCTTCATTGTATTATAACCTACAGGTCCTGGTACTTTGTCTGTAGGTTGATTGTTAATAGGCGATACAAATGTTCAAATGCTATGGCCGGTGGGTTTGATGGAAAAAGGTTTGTATTTTTTTTAGTTTTTTGATTAAATGATAAATAAATTGAGTGGTTGGTCACCTGCCCAGAAAAGAAGCTGCGCTAAGTGATTGACAGCAGGAATGTGACCGGGTTGTACATAACAGAAATCAAGAGGATGCTCAGCTGTACAATCGTCTCCTCGACTCTAGGACAATAACATCAGATAAAAAAACGCTAAATAAAATTGTAGAGTGGCATACCCAATTCACAACGGTACCTAAGACTTTGTATGATGCAAGGACAGAGAAATCCATGCTTTAAACTTTGAGAATTTACTATTAAGATTGTGGTTTCCCAATTAAAGGGACTGTAAGCGTTAAATCAATTGAACCACCATGCAAAGATGGCAATGCCCGATTTAAAACGGTATCCTTGACACCTCAATCTGATTAAAAATGTGGAAAAAAAACGTCGTTGTCGTTTACTAGAAAAGTGTTTAATTCAGATAATTTCTCCAATGTTTCCTATAAGCAAGAAATGCGCATTGTGTTAGTAAATTTTGCAGAAAACCCAAAAATTAAAATAAACGCATGAATATCTAATTCATACATGATCAGACGAAGCTTTCAAGGGTACCTTTGTAAATCGGGCATTTGCTATCATTGCATGGAGGGTCACTTAAAACTACGATTACAGTTGTTTCAAGGGACTTTTAACTTGGGAAGGACAGGGTTGGCATAAAAAAACACCAACCCAAAAAAAAAACAATAAAACAAACTTTAAAAAGTCCGTTTTTTTCAAAACCTGGGCAAGGATATCATCAAAATCATATTTATCTTGGATATCTGAGAGTACTTTTAACTTGGCAGGGATATTATCAAAATCATATCTATACCTGGATATCTCTGAGTACTTTTAACTTGGCAAGGATATTATCAAAATCATATTTATACCTGGATATCTCTGAGTACTTTTAACTTGGCAGGGATATTATCAAAATAATATCTATACCTGGATATCTCTGAGTACTTTTAACTTGGCAGGGATAATATCAAAATCTCTCCGAATAAATGGTTTCAATCTTGTTCCAGAATAAGGACTAAAACAAAACAAAAATAAGAATTCTAACAACAAAATTTGATAGAACGTTGACTTGGTGGAATATGGAATTGTCGAAGGAATTTAAACTTTCTATGTTCTATCAAATGTAGGTACCTGGTACACTACATGTTATATATATTGCGTTACAGAAAATGCTTCGAGTAGATTCTCTATTTTCAGACAACAACATATCATTAGTATAGAAACATGATTTCAAACTTTACACAACATGCGGGACCGGATTTTTTTGTGGTAACTCACATAGCAAAGGTTTAAGAAAGGCCAAATTTTACGAGGAACAAAATGTCAGCAATTTTTTTAAATCCAGCAATTTCAACAGAAAAAATCACAAGCCTTTTATGTATGAGGAAAATGGGCAATCTGAAAAGCACGCTTAAGTCCAAAATTATTTCTTGAAGCGCCCTCAAAGTCTAGGGTTTATAATTTTGAAATTGTCTTTTGTATACCTGTTAATATGAAGTAAAGGATAGTTTCCACTGAAAAGTAATATTTTCTTCAATCTCTCTCTTTCTCTAGGATTAGTTTGAAACCTATCCAGTACCCGATCACATCCATCGTTCGCCCCAAGGCTTTCTTCCTCCGCCTCAAATTCCAAAACTTCCGCCTCAGTGTCTTTCTTAATTTCACCATTCGCCGTTGGGTCATCACTTTTATAATTCACAGCCACATGATTTGAAAATTCCTCGCTTAAAATATTGCCTCTGGTTGGTTGTTCTGGGAGCTCTGGCGGTTGATCGATATCTACCACTGAATCCTGATCCCTGGATACAGGCTCCAGGACAATATCAGCACAGGGACCCATAATACCTTCCTCGGAGTTCCGTGGGGTCACAATATCTCCAAATATTTCCTATATCAATCAGATTATCATTATTTAACAAGTCAATCAATCAATCAAAAATAGCCAAAAAATCAATCAACAACTCGAATCAATTCATCAGTCCATCCGTCAATTAATTCTACGAGGAATTGATAATTGTTTTAGTTTTTCCACCCTTTTAGATACTTATTAGTTTTTCCACCCTTAAGATACTTTTTACCCTATAAGATACTTTTTACCCTTTTAGATACTTTTTACCCTTTTAGATACTTTTTACCCTTTTAGATACTTTTTACCCTTTTAGATACTCTTTACCCTTTTAGATACTTTTTACCCAAGAATAAATTTACTTTCCCCCGAAAATCATTTTTCATTTGTTTCCCCATATTCAGAACTTAAACACTGAAAATGTTTATGCTGAACATTTGTGGGAAAAAAATTATTTTCAAGGGGGGGGGGGAGGATTTCATCAGAGAGTAAAAAAACATTGTGATATGCATGAAAAACTTGAAAATTGGTGAAGAAATAGTACCTCCAAAGAAGGCTGTGAGGTTCGATCAACTATTGCTGAAGCTGTGCTATCATCTCCATACGGGTCACCACTCTTTAATAAAAAAATCTTTATGAAGAAATTTTACTTACCTCCCATTCAAATTAAATAAAACAAATCATCCATTCCCAATAATTAGTGAAAATTATGACCCGTAACCTCAAAAATGAACCAATCTTATGCAATTTTATAAACTTTTTTTAAATAAAATGAAATCTGCATAAAATAGAGCAAAAGTCCTGTGACAAAAAGAGCTTCTAAATAACATAAACAGAATTCACAAAATATTTACGTAAATATCTTTCAACCCTTAGATTTTAATCCATAGAACTAAGAGTTCAAAGCTCATGGTTAACGGCCTAAAAATTAACTTCAATTGTTACAAAATAAAGATATTTTAAAACCTGATAGTTTTGTATTTCTCCGACACTCTCGAATTCATTCTCATCTCCAGATCCTTCAGTGGTTTTAGAAAATAAATTTTAAAGTAAATGAAAAAAATCTAATTAATTAACGATACAAAAGCTAAATGTCAAAACAACAATTTTTAAATAAATAAAAAAATTAATTTCTTTTGATCAATTCAAATAGGAGTTATCGGAATTTTTTAAATAATAAGGAAAATACCGGTGTTGAATCGTGATCATTATGTGCAAAAATACCGGTGTTAAATCGTGATCATTATGTGCAAAAATACCGGTGTTGAATCGTGATCATTAAGTGCAAAAAGTCGGGTAAAATTTGACCTATCTGTGACTTGGCTCCTTGTTTTATGCTTAGATCCAGGGTCTGGATCCCAATTAAAGGGACTGTAAGCGAAATTTTAAGTGACCCTCCATGTCCGTGTACATAAATATGTGGATAAACGTATCTCAGTATTTGACGATGTACACATATATTTAAGAGGTACCGTTGTAAATCGAGTATTCCCCTCTTTGCATGGAGAATCAAATTGAGATAATGCTTACAGTCCCTTAAAAAAAGATTCTGATCACTGAAAAAAATCACCACAAACATAATTTTCATTATTTCCTGGGTGAAGGGAGACACTGTCGACTCCAGCCAGAGTAAACTCATCTTCTTCCTCCTCTTCAACACCTGGATACTCGGAACTCTCTTCAACATAAACAATGTCATCTATTTACCATGAAAACCAGAAAACTTTGAAAAAGAAAAACGACTTTCAGACTTTAAGTTTTGAATACAATTAGTCCAATGAACATGAAACCCAGCCAATTGTGCAGTGAACACTGTACACAGACCATTTTACATAACTAATTTTTTGAAGCTACTAATAAAACTAATTTAGCCATAGTATGCATCAAATACGCTTAAATATTGCATTTATGTCGTCTTTCTATTCCAGTTTTTTGGTTCTCACTGCATCAATCATCAACATAAACCTCCGGAAAAAAACTGAAATCAAATTTAATGAATAACAAGAAGTACTTGAATACGAACCACCTCTTTTCAACTTGGATCAGAGCACAAGAGAGAAGGTTAAACTTAGTCTACGTAGTTCAACTACTATTCACTATTAATTAAATTTAGTCCCTGATTTACAAAGTTTCAAAGTTTGAGATCCCAGATGCCTGTTTAAGTTGAAGGTTAGCGATTTATGTTTGACGCGGGAATATCATTTAACACACGGAGGTCTCAACATAAGTTTTCCTAAAGTTTTCTTAATATTAATGTAGTCTATTTGTTGGATACTTGTGACGTCACTTAAAACTTAATATCTGCACGGTGGTCTCAACATAAGTTTTCCTAAAGTTTTCTTAATATTAATGTAGTATGCTATTTGTTGGATACTAGTGACGTCATTTAAAACAGTAAAGTAAGATCCAGTAAACATTCCGCGCTATAACTAAAATTTCCGTGAGTTGACTCTTCAGTTCTAACCCTACCTTCAGTAAAGTTCTCCTCAAGCTCTACCTCCCCTCCAAGATCAAGGTGGCTCAGCTCGTACTGAGGAAGGAAAACCAGAGGGTTCAACGGAGGTTCCGGAGATAATGAGTGGAGAGGGGGATCCGGAGACAGGGGATGGAGCGAAGGCTCCGGGGATAGTTGAAGAGGTTGCTCTGGGTCCAAGGGGTTCAAGGACCGTGTAGGAGAGGTGGAGGGGAGGGTGGAGGGGAGGGTAGAGGAGTGGGAAGTGATCTCTCCAGTTAAATTATCAAAGCAGGGGAATAGTAATGTGTCCGAGTAATCATTCACCTAATCAGAGAAGGGTATATATTTTCAAAAATTTACTTCTGTCGAGGGAGGGTGCTGATTTTTTTGGGGAAGAAGAGGAATACACTTGAATTCACTTAATTTCTGTAAAAATGATAAATATAGTTAAAAAAAAGAGAAAGCTTTACCTTTGGCGATAAGTCTATTCTTTTATCTCTAGACGTTGTACCTGGAAAAAAAGCAAATTTTAAACAGGATATTATAAACATTCTAGGTGAAGGGCTCGGTGTTGCCAGTGGAGAGAAAAAAAAGAAAAAAAGAAAAAATGAAAAAAATCGGGTTTTTTGCCTTTAACACCCCGAGCTTTTCCATGAGTGTCCACAAAAAATTTCAGCCCATTCGAACCAGCCAGAGGGAAGAAGATATATAAATATGTAAATGTCTTGTTGCATTATATAGATTATGTTGTAACCCCCTCCCCCTCCTCCTCCTCCTCCTACTAATATTATTTTCCCAAATAAATTCTAGATTTGTGTTCTTGAAGCATGAAATTGATCAGGAATAGTCCCGTAAACATTTTTTGAAGCATCTAGCTAGGGGGCAGATTTTGTCTTCATTCGACAAAGAAAGGTTACGCCGTTGATTTTAATGGTTTTAATCTAAGATCTTGAGGAAAAGTACCGTAAAGTTCACTTCACTGGTCCAAAGCTAACCGTAAAAAAATTGGAAACCGTCTATATTTCGCAGTGATTAAGCCTGAATACTAAGTATTTTATTTAACGTTCTAACCTATATTTGGTACAAACTCCTTTCGAGCCGGTACAAGCGTGTCCGTGACAGTACTAGGAGGTCGAATCTTCTTAGCTCTAGAAAATGTCCGCTTCACAAATTTCTGCGGTTCCGAATCCGAGTTTTCGCATCCGTTCTTCATAGAAGCGCCTCCATTCTGCGCAGGAATATCCGCGCCATTTCTCTGTGTCACAACGTTCTTGGTGATTATAACGTTCGAGGATACGTGTCCGTTTAGTCGCAGTTGGTCGACCACGTCGGAGTTTTTAGGGACAGAGACATACTTGTCGCCGACTTTCACTAGCTCCCAATAATTGTCGAAATCTGTTATTAGCTCTAAAATATGACTGATTAAGAACTTTTTGCGTTATCAAAATAAAGTTTTTATGTCATAACTTTGAAAATAAAAACATTTATAGATTTTAATATTTATGAGCAACAAATTTTCATCTTTTCAATGGGACCCATAAAATTGAGAAATGAAGACGACATTTAGACAATCTTTTGTGTATTTGATGTTGTAATCAAGCCAATAGTTTTACCGTTAGTTTGAAAAGGATTGTATTGACGTAAATGAGTCCATGTACATTTCACAATTGTACATTGTACATTGCACAATCACTGTGCTTCATGTTTATTGGACTATCTAAAATAATTATTTGAGTCTAAAAGTCGTCGTCTTACTCCACAGCTTTATAGGTCCCACTGTAGTGACAAATAAAAAGATGAAGTATAAATATGTGACTTAAATTACCAGCACATTTTCCCGTTTTTTTATTAACTCGTTTGTTCCCCTCGTCTTTCAATTTTCTCTTTCTTTCACCCTATTTTAAAAGAACTTATACACTAAATTAAACCAATGTAATTGTGATTGATTTCACAATTTATTAATGTTTTTAAAAATAAATTTTTTTTGTTATCAATTTCCAAGAAACCACTCTACTTGGATCTTATGTCTTATAAACTTTATTTTAGTTTATATAAGTGAATGTTAACTTTCAGAAAATCAATGAATCAATAATTTTGTGAGGAAAATAAATTATTAGAATAAATAAATAAAAAAATTTTAATTTGTCTTTCATACATTATTATTTTATCAATACCTTTACCTTGATAGCAGTCTTTGGAACAAACAAGGCATCTCTTTTTTCTTTTAATGCTATAGCATTTAACATGCTGTTACCTGAAAACTATTCTCTTTATACAGCACGACAATATCAAATGAGGTAAAATAAAGCAAGTTGACAAATGATTTGTAAATATTCACAAAAATATTTTATATTTTCCCACAATCTAACATCATATAACTTAAATTTAAAATCTTGAAACGGGGCGGTGAAAAATTAGTGGTGGTAGGGGGGGGGGGGCGCCTTGGGGTTCAAGCAAGATGGAAGAAACAATTTATTTCTGGAATAAACTTTACTTTGGCATGTTTTGTTACCTGAAGTTGAATGCCTGGGTTCCCTCTTGATTAAGGACATGTCCTCCCCAGTCACCATAATCTTGTTCTCTAGCTGTACACAGGTCTTCTTACTCGGGGGCAGGCTTCTTTAAAAATTTAACAATCAATCAATCAACCAACCACCCAATCTGTCAGTCAGTCCCTCAACTACTCAATCTGCTAGTCAATTTATCACTTTTTATTTTTTTCTTCTTAGTTCTACCAATCATTAAGTCAATTCAGCAACTGTGACGTAACTCAAATCAAATGCTAAGAATGAGCATTATTCAATCATTAATCAATCAATCAAACCCTCCATTAACACAGCAAAACAATGATTAAAAATTGTTACTTAACTAACCAATCGATTAGTCTTACTTTGATTTTTCCAATAGGATGGCTGGGTGCTCCATTGATTTTAACTTCCACCAGCCCTGGACATTATACAGATTTATCACTGGGGAAAAGATTTCAGAAGATTACGAGGAAAACAATTAAACATTTCCTCAATAAACTCGACAACATTCCTAACAAACTGTGGAAACATACAGTCATAATCAGAAAGACCTGGAATTAATAGGCAGTTAATCAGGGGACTTATATATCTCTGGCAATTTTAAATGCTCATAAAAGTCCAGACCACATTTTGGAAATGGCAGGACTAGGGCTATTTCATCAATCATATTTGTAAAATTAGATTGTAAAGTCGTCTGATTAATTATAAATTAATTCCCGGGTCGTTCTCTGAAATGGACTGGATTAATTCCGAAAACTGGGAATCCTTTAACTTAATGAGTTTTTAAAAAAAATATTCCAATCAAAATGAATTATTAAATATTCTGTTCCTGCTCGTTGAGGTCTCCGGCTCCCGAGGTGAAGAGACGACCAATATTAGAAGACAGGTTTCCGGAAACTACTCCCTAATCAATCAATCAATTAAAAAAAATCAATAAATCAATCAAAAATTCAATCAATCAACCAATCTGCCAATCAGTCAATCAATTCATCAAAAATATTTCAATATATTACGACACATCTACTATATAGAGTAAGTTGTGTTTAACTTTTTGATTTTAATCAACACCAAATATGAATAGACTTTTTAAATGTTGTTTTATAGGTCTCATTGTACATGAATAATTCTTTAATTTGAATAACGAACAAAAAATTTTGTTTTTGTGAAATTGTAAAAAAAAATTTATAATATTTTCTCTAACCTGCCAAGTTTTTTTCTTTTTACACTTAGGGCCGAATAGTAGAACCCAATGCTCTGATATGAACTCACAAATATTATTTTTCCAGTGAAAATAACCCTGAAAAAAAGTATACAACTCATTGAAAAATAATTTTAAAAAAGCAAAATTATAGTTTTTCTGCTTTCAACCTTTAAAAAAAGTGCTTGAATCTTGGAATTTTTAAAGATTTAGTTTAAATTCTTTGATGATTTTCCGAGATAAGTCACTTTTAATCAAAAAAGTGTTTAAAATTAAGAATTAGGTTTCGAAAATGTTAAAAATCTTAGGGAAATGAAAATTTAATGAATTCAGCTACAAACCCCCCCCCCCTGAGAGAACTATTTTAAAATGTTGATTCAGTATTACAACTTCCCTCCCCCTCTTATTCCTCTTCATCACATTTCTTGTTTATACAATTCAAGAACAGGTTTAGGTGAAGATGGATAGATATAGTCACGCGAGGTTGTCGTGCAATATGAGGTCGTAAGTGAAGTGAGAAAACTAACCTGCTTGCTACCAATTCCTTGCAGATGTAGATTATATAAAGAAAGAAGAATTGCAGCCAACCAAGATATTCTACTTCTAAAACGAACTTTTATCATTTATAGGATAATATCAAAAAACAAATCAATCACTTAAAAACAAGGACATTGATCAATCATAAGTTACGAGTAAACCTTAAAGTGATCAACTGTTTGTTTTATATTATTAAAAGTATTTTAACGACTTTCACCTAAATAATTCATCGTGTCCCGAATCCGAACAGTTTGAGCATGTGAAGTCGAAGAATATATCTCCCTTTAACAGCATTGGGGTGTTTTCATCCCTGAATAATCAGTTCAAAATAAGAACTTTCTTATGAAAATGCGCCATTTTTAATCGAAAAATCCGCCAATGATTAAAAATAGGCACTTTAAGATCAACAATTTAAAGGTAAAATTATTACGCGGAAAAGGGGGGAGGGGGCGAAGCAACCCTGACAGCCTTGTATATGTATATATATATATATATATTTCTATATAATTCAACGCTTCCCTTAAATGTTACTTTTTCAAACAAAAATGTATTTCAAATAAAAAGGGCAGACGGGTAGACATCAAACAAACCAAAAAATGAATTAAAAGATACCATCAGTTAGCATTTTTATGAAAATTCGAAAACTTCGTTTATGAAGTATATTGTACTCACACTGCTAAGCTGAAAATGGAGCATCAGGTTTCAAGTCAAAACACCTAAACTCTTTCTTTGGAATATATAATGAAATATAATCTCAATTTTCAGAATATTTTCTAGGGAACTTTGAGCAAATCCATTTTTAAGATTTTGTAGAAATCGGAGTGATTTTTTCTGGTCTAAAAACAAATGTATCATTAGTTTCAAGACTAGATTAAGCTGATTATTAATGGCAAGGTCTCCAAATTTTGTGAGTTTTCCTTAACAGTCTTAAGACACGTCTTAGCAAAAATTTAAAGCAATAAGTGAACTGTATGACTGTTTAAGTACTGCCTAAAAAAGGGTTTTTGAAGGGGAATCCTTTAAAATCACATCAAAAACCTTTTTCAGGCCGTATCTAGTCAGTCAGGCAGTTGACTTTGGACTTTGATTTTTTACTACAATATGTCTTTTGACTTTTCCTGAAAAGTTACAAAATATATAACTCAGTAGACTGCATTTTAACATCTTCTGAAGATAAAGTTTAGGTGTTTTGACTTGAAACCTGATGGTCCATTTACAGCAGTATGTACTAGGCTTTGAGGGCGCTTCGCGCCCATCATTTTTTTCAATTGTAAACATTTTCTCCATGTATACATAGTAAAACAACAACAAAAGTTTGCAGATTTTATAAAAAAAATTGTCATAGATTAAAAAAAATTTAGTAAAACGCAACTTTTATTGAAGACTAATTATTGAAATTTTAATCATCCATAAACCTTGACTGAGGTCATGTGAGGTCCCATGGTTATTTAGGCCCGATCGAATTAGCCGTCTTCGACGTTTACTGGATACAAACAGACAGACAGACAAGCAAAGTATAAATATAGATATTATATTTTCTGATTTCCTAACACATTCGGGATGCTTCTCAGCTCCACACTGGGAACAATGCAGGAAAACCTAGAGTATAGATTTCCATAACATATTTTTTTAAGACCCTAGAGCTTCAAAACTTGAATTTGTGGGTTCAGTTTCTAATAGCTTTTCATTCTTATGATTTAAAAATTCTTTCGACACATAATTAGATTAAGACTTTTTAACTAAACAATGTATTTATTTATAATTTAAAATTATCTTTGTCTTGAAAAAATTGATAGGACTAATGATTGATTGTTAACATGTGTTGAAATGGTCAAAACTTTTTAAGCAGTGATGAACTGTCTCTGAGAGATGAAATGATGCAGTACATCGGTTCCAATAGATTAGCATAATTAACTCTAAATTCGGATCCTCAATAAGTGCTGAATTCCGAATGGAAAAGTGCAGCATATTTTTTCGTTTTACATTTCATTCTTAAATATTAATATCGGTTAAACAACTATACATAATATATATATAACTATATATATTGCATGCTAAAATTTATTTTTCAAAAAATTATTAAAAGGCTGTTAAAAAACCACAAGAACATTATTTCCAGGCCAGAGCACTTTAAACAAAATTTCAAATTAACTCTCCATTTGAAGAGTGCCATGTCCGATTCACAATGGTACCTCAAGGATATCTCATTCATCCTTGATCAAAGGTTACCTTAGGGAATCGGACACGTTATTCTCTGTGTAAATGAAAAAACGATCACATACATACTTGAGATTTAATTGTACATGAAGTATTTGGTCCATTACAACTATCCTCCATTTTTATTCTGAAACAGCTGAATACAAGAAACATCCGCCATTTGCAAAACTTACATTTAGATGAGTTAAAATTGTAAACAGGAAGTGATGATAAATAATTATTTATTGGAAATATACAATTTGAGTATTAAATTTATACAATTGAAATAGATAAAATGTTTACAAACAGTAAATAGTGGATATTTTTGGATCGAATGAAATGCAATAAAATTAATTTTTTTTGGTGAAAACATAATGTATAAATATTGATAGATTGTAAAGGTTCTCGCTCAAACACGTTCATTTAGCAACCTGAAAAAATTTAAATAGAAATTTATTATTGACAATGATTGTTTATCTGAAAAAGATGGTACAAATTACAGAGTATTTCAAATTATAGATAAATTTCCATAATTTTGAAAAAAGATGATATTATTAATCACAAACCTAAATACTGAGTATAGCGGTATGTACAGCTGTACCGAGCAGGGTCAGTAGACCAAGGTAGCCAAATGCTCCCTAAAGTAAACATCAAAGTTTGTCGTAAGTTGTATTACACTTCATCTTCAATATACACAAAAAAAATGTCTAATTTTTTTAAATTTTTTGTTAAATGACCATTCCAGGATAAGAAGCTGGATTTTTTGTTTTGCAACAATTTTCGTTGAATCCCGCCAATCTAAAAACGTTTCTATGGAGGTATTTACAGCTTTTTAACAGCTTTTAACAAAGACATGTCATTTAACCAAATTATAAATTTGATTCTCTTTCTTTACTTTTTGAAGATGCAAAGAAAACACTTCTAAATTGGGCGAACTTTTGAAAATCAAAGACATCTCCAAGTCGTTCTTTCAACTTACATGTTTAGTGAGACACTCTGTTACATATACAGTATAAACAATACAGGGTATCTCAAAAAACTTTAATAATTTATTTAATTAAATCGTCAAACCTTGACTCTGTTACATATACAGTGTAAACAATACAGGATATCTCATAAAACTTTAATAATATATTTAATTAAATCATCAAACCTTGACTCTGTTACATATACAGTGTAAACAATACAGGTCACTAAACTTTAATAATATATTTAATTAAATCGTCAAACCTTGATTCTGTTACATATACAGTGTAAACAATGCAGGATATCTCATAAAACTTTAATAATATATTTAATTATATCATCAAACCTTGACTCTGTTACATATACAGTGTAAACAATACAGGGTATCTCACTAAACTTTAATAATATATTTAATTAAATCGTCAAACCTTGATTCTGTTACATATACAGTGTAAACAATACAGGATATCTCATAAAACTTTAATAATATATTTAATTAAATCATCAAACCTTGATTCTGTTACATATACAGTGTAAACAATACAGGGTATCTCATAAAACTTTAATAATATATTTAATTAAATCGTCAAACCTTGATTCTGTTACATATACAGTGTAAACATTACAGGGTATCTCATAAAACTTTAATAATATATTTAATTAAATCATCAAACCTTGACTCTGTTACATATACAGTGTAAACAATACAGGGTATCTCACTAAACTTTAATAATATATTTAATTAAATCATCAAACCTTGACTCTGGATTTTGGCTCCCCTGTGCTGTAACCAAGAGCATAGACAATCCTTAACATAATTTTTATTGTAGGTTAAGATGAGAATAAAAAATAGTAGGAGGCTAGACATTGTACACTAAACGGTTCAATACGATTAATCATATGGTCCAAGTAGACTACGATTCTAAGATCAAAGGAGGCTAGGATTATACGGTCAAAGGGGGCTAGGATTATCCAGTCAAAGGAGGCTAGGATTATACAGTCAAAGGTGGCTAGGATTCTACGGTCAAAGGAGAATAAATTTTAAATCCAAAGGTGGCTAGGACTCTAAGGTCAAAGGAGGCTTGGACTAGACCGTCAAAGGTGGCTAGATTTCTACGGTCAAAAGGCTAGGATTATACAGTCAAAGGTGGATAGGATTCTACGGTCAAAAGAGACTAGGACTCTAAGGTCAAAGGAGGCTAGAATTATAGGGTTAGGATTCTATAGTCTAGGGAGGCTAGGATTATACGGTCAAAGGGGGCTAGGATTATCCAGTCAAGGGAGGCTAGGATTCTACAGTCTAGGGAGGCTAGGATTATACGGTCAAAGGGGGCTAGGTTTATAAAGTCAAAGGAGGCTTGGATTATCCAGGCAAAGGAGGCTAGGATTATACAGTCAAAGGAGGCGAGGATTATACATTCAAAGAAGTTGAGTATTACAATTTCAAAGAAATGAAGGATTATATGGACTGGGGAGGATTTTATTATACGGTAAAATCAGTCTCAGATTTTATTATGAAAGGAGTCAAGAATGAAGAATCAACTGGCCATAAGAGGATTAGGATTACACAGAAAAAAGAAGCTAGGATGTGTCAAGGAAGTAGGAAAGGATTTATCTATGACGGAGTTTATACCTGCCGACAATCCAAACCCATCCTGCTCCAGCGGAGAGGTGAGGGTGGGAGAATCCTCCCATAGTGAGGAGGAAGAGGAACTGGGGCAGGTTCTCCAGGGTATTCTGGTGGGCCCTCTGAATACAGTTGAACACCTGCAAATAATGGAATAGGTTTTCCAGCCAAGGAGTTTGGGTTGAACCTGACCCATGCTTGGTGGTTCACACTTTGGCCGGTGTGGTCAGCCACCAATGACACTCCGCTACTTCCATTGGAGGTAGAGCGGTGACATGGGCTCTTCCCAGGGGGCGGAAACGTCATATGTGTGTGTCTGTACCAAAAGAGTGTGTGTTAGTTTAAAGTACCAAAGGTGTGTACTCTATGTAAATAGAGTACATACGAATCTCGGTATTTGTACAGTCTAGGAGAGTACATTTGTTTATTGTTAATTGTTTACTTAGAAATAAGTTTAATATACAATACATGTAGCAAATTATTTATATATTTAAGTCAACACTATAAGCCAAATGTTCATGCAAAGAATATAATTTGATTAAAGTTTACAACAAATATAGTCGTTATTCAAGTTTAATTATAATTGACAACATTGTTCTGCAATTTCCTTGACTGTAATCATGTTGTGTGACTGTACCAAAAGATTGTGTGTTAGTTTAAAGTATTGGTCTGCAAAGCAGTGCGACTGGCTTTCTCAAGCCAGACCAGCGCCATTTCCTTTCTCTTTATTCCTATTCCCTGACTCTTCCCTGAACATTCCTTGGATTGAAGGATGACTGTTATATTTATTTATTCAATTTCAAAGGGGAGTGTCTGATACAAAACAGTAAGGTCAGATATCAAAGGGTATCTGGTATCTAAGGTTAGGGTCAGATATCACAGATAACAGGGGGGGAGGTCAGATTTCAAAGGAGGGGAGTGGGTTCAGATAACATAAAGGCGGGGTTGGGGTCAGACATCAAAGGGTGGTGTCATATTTCAAAAGAGGGGGGGGGGTCTGATATAAAAAAGCGGGTATCATACATCAAACGGGCGGTATCAGATAGTAAAGGGGGGGGGGCGGGAGTGTCTGAAATAAGATATTTCACTTTACTTTTTGATCATAGTATTTTAAACACTTATAAAACAACAGGCTTAACAAATTAAAAGATTTTCTATAACTCTTCCAATCAGATGAAAAAATTGATTAAAGACTAGCGTTGTGCACAGTAAAAACATTTTGAAGCTTTTCATATCATCATGTTACCACTTTTAACAAATTCTTTCCTAAATTCTGTACCAAAATTGTTAGGTTAGTATAAGGTTGAACAGTTGAACGTTGTACAATCAGAAAAGGGATCTGAGCGCACTCAAAGACATTGCTATACAATACCTTGCTTAAGATATTTAGATTAGAAGGTATCCAAATAACGGTAATGTTACATCGTCTATACGCAACATCCCCCCTACTGAACTTCTGACCTACTAACTTTCCGACCTACTGCAATATCTGACCTACGCCAGCTGTTTATTTTTGTATTATTTGAGGGTTAGGTTAGGTTAAGACAATTTCTGGGCCGAGCGCTGCGGCTAGGACAGGCTAGGGGGCCGAGCGCCGCGGCTAGGGGGCCGCGCGCTGCGGCCACAAGTCTATATAGCAGCTGTAAAACCACGTGCTAGTAGGTCGGATGTGTAGTATAGCGGATTTGGCGTAGGTCAGAAGTGGAGTATAGCGGATTTGCGTAGGTCGAAAAATACACCACCCCAAACAACTTAAGACTGAAAACATGAATCCAATTTGGTTCCATCTAGCGGCCAATGCTATACAAATTGTTAGTTCCCATATTCGCCGCTAGTATGTATGAAGTTTGTGGCGCTGCATATCCGTGTTGTTTACTTTTTCTCTTATTGACACACTCCTTAAGAAGAGACTCTATACCTTGCTATCCTTGCTGTACATATCAGGGTATTCAACATTAAACTTCTTTCTGGCTTGTCCCACCCTGATTCCTTTCCACATTGCCATAAAGATAGAGCCAACTCCTGAAAAGAGATTCAAGGTTGTATAATAAGGTTGGTTACTCTCGATGCGCTCCAATGTACGGAAAAAAGATAGTTAGATAAAAAGCTCGAAATACGTCACTCTCATCTCTACAATGAGGTTTATTTCTAGCTTTCTTACTACACACGGAAAATGTCGTCTCCTAAGATAGATAAAACCCTAGAATGGCGTCACTATCGCCTCTACAATGAGGTTTTCCTCTATCTGCCTTAGGAGACGACACTTTTCGTACATTGGAGCGTATCGAGAGTTACCAACCTTAATGTAAAACCTTGAAAGAGATGCAGAAACTTCTTCTTCAAACTTTTATTAAAAAACAACGTAAATATTTGTATAACATGAATTATCAAAAAAATCACAGGAGATGCAGAAAATAAATTTAATCAGAATTTGGGTTTGATGTTCAAAAGTAAAAAAAATTACTTACCGGTTAGGACGACATATCCATATCCTTCGGGGAGCATGAAACCAACCATTTTCTCTGAAAATATCACAAATTTAAACATGGATCAATTGTCAATACATTTCATGAACATTAAAGAGATTGTTGTACTCCACTCACTGTTAGATTTGCAGCATTTTTCAGTCACAAAGTCAAACATTGCCATACTGCTTAACATTTAAAATAGATGTGTTTAACACTGTATTGTGGATCATCATTGTTTTCCAGGTCAGCTGCAGATTCTTACGCGCAATAAATGTGGATTCCGTCACGTGATTGGATGATCAGCTCTGTAGATTCCGTCACGTGATTGGAGGATCAGCTCTGTAGATTCTGTCACGTGATTGATGGATCAGCTCTTTAGATTCCACTATGTGAGTGGAGGATCAGCTTCATGGATTCCACCATGTGATTGATGGATCAGCTCTGTAGATTCCACTACGTGAGTAAAGGATCAGCTTCGTGGATCCACCACGTGATTGACGGATCAGCTCTGTAGATTCCACTACGTGAGTAAAGGATCAGCTTCGTGGATTCCACCATATGATTGGAGAATCAGCTCTGTAAATTCTATCTTAATATGGTCAGCTTTGAAGAATTGCATCAGTCACTTGATAGAATGAACACTTGAAGATTCTGTTAAAGCATGATCAGATATAGATTCTGTCAGGTGTGGTTGAAGATCACATGTCACAGGATTATCAGCTCTGTAAATTTTATCACGTGAAAGGAAAATCAGCTGTAGATTATTCCCCAGGAACGGACGATCAGCTCTAGGCTCGGTCAGCTATATGATCCCGTGATAGATTGATCAACTTTAGACGATTGTATGATAGGTTAATCAGCTGTAGATTGACCAAAGTGATATTTTCCCTTCCTTCCCTCCACAAGCCATTATATTTTTCCTGTAATATTTAATATTTGAGATAATTTAGTTTATTCTTAACTTACTTATCATGTTTCTTGTTATCAGGCCTAAGCGTTAATTTCACAATATTTTTATCTTTCATTAACCCCCCCCCCCCCNGGGGGGGGGGGGGGACTCTTCACCTTATTCTGCCTGCAGATAAAGGAGTAGAAGTAAAGGTCACACATTCCACAGCCTAAAAAATAAAAGATAATAACATTAAATACAAAAACTGTTAAATTGACAGAGTCCAAATAAATAGTAAATAAAAAATTCACAATTGTGGTGCTCTGTAAAAAAATCACTACTTTCATTATTTACAATTTACATCGTTAAACCGATTGCAAGGCGATACAGTTGGCAGGATTAAGAGGAAACCCAATCCCACCACGGAAAGATTCAGGGATGTGAATTTTCTTGAAAAATTATCCCCCCCCCCTTTTAAAAATCATTTATTTCTCTAAAATTAAGGTTTGTTTGCGCACAAATTTTCTTTGCTTAATTTGGGGAAAACAATGATTTTTTGAGAAAAACAAATAACTTTTTGAATAAGAAGTATCAAAAGGGCAAAAAAAACTTGCCTTTAACTGACCAGATTTCCATTCACCCCCCCCCCAATCCAAAAAAAAAACTCAAAAATCATTCCCCCTTGACAAAATTACCTCTGAGTGAAATTGAAGAACTGCTAAGGGTTTACACTTTTCAGGGTTCTTCCAGGAAAAAAGCCTGGAAATTAAAATATTTTTAATTTCAAGACAAAACTATTTTTTAATGTCAGTAAACCAGAACCGACAAGGCTTTTTACCTTAACCTTGACCTAACCCTGACCATGTCATAACATGACAAGACTTGTACAAATTGGGAGGGGGGGGGAGCTTGAAAAGTTTTGACTCTCACCTAATCCTATGATCCCATCCCCCTGCCACTAGAATAGGTTTATCCTGTCGTAGGTTTACCACTCCAACTCCAGGGTTTGTTATTGCACGCTCCTTAAATATTAGATAAAAATATGTTTTAAATAATTATGATAAAATTTAAAAACAATAACTTTGGTCCTAGCTGTACACTGTACACTGTACAATGTACAGTTTTCAGTGTAAATTGCGTAAAAAAAATCAAGATTTGAACCTCACCGCGGCCCCCCCCCCCCCCCCC